TCAACCCTTAGCTATAAAATTATTTGTAAATTTTGAATAGGTAGTATGAATTTTGTCAAAAATTTGAATTTAAAATTTTTATAAAAAACCCTGCTTACGCATTTTTAATATTTTGTAATCGATATTGTAAATATATACCAGGAGCCTTGTATTACATTTTCAAGCTTTTTGACCAAACAAATAAAACGTATTGGCAATTATTAGAAAAAAAACTAAAAAAATTTGAAAATTGAAAAAGTCTGTAAACGGCTCAAAAAAACTATATAAATTGATATATAAATATATAGTATAAATATCAAGAAGCTGCAGTTATTCGTTTTTGAATTACAATGAAATAAGAAAATTGCTATATGAAAAATGGAGTAAATATCCAATGTTGTAAAAATTTCAACACACATAAAAATTTAATTTGAGTTTTCGGTAGAATTTTTATTTTTTGATAACTGTAGACAATCTTATAAGGAAAATTATTTTAAGTTTTAAAATCTTAGATATAAAAAGAAATTTTTTTATGAATTTCCAACACAAAATAATTTTCGTGATTTTTAGGTATTATTTCAAAATTCTAAATTTAAACGCTGGTAAAATATTATTAAGGATTTACGCTGAACTTTTTTTTAATTCTCAGTAACAACAACTTACGAAAAACTTTGTATTACATTTTCAAGTTTATTGACAGAGCAAAAATTTTTTATCGACATTTGTTTTAAAAAAAAACAATAATAATGGAAAATGTCTTATGCTTATAAATGGTTTAACATGAGTCAAAATATTTTGAAAATTGTATGGTGTATAGAAAACGTGGATATAAATATTCAATGAAAACTTCTTGAATCTACGACATTTTTTTAGAGATACATCAAAAACCAAAATCTATTTTCCAGTTTTTCCTTAATTTTTTGTTCATTTTTCCTGCCGCTTTTGAAAACGATTGGGAATATTTTACTTTTGACACCTCTTTAACCCCCCCCCTCCCATTTACTAACTAGATTCAATTTCCTTACCAGAAAGGATGTTGTTGAAGAAAATCGAAGCACTTTTACTATCCCAAAACGTGATGACGGACACAAAATAAAATAAAAAACACACAATATAAAATCAAAACATTAATTGCTCCGCTCCAAATCTAAAATGATCTATCAATCCTTAAAAATTGTATTTGTGTTCGACACAATAATACAAATAATTTTTAGTCATTAATACTTAAATTCATTATGACAGTAACCCATTCATTAATAAAATAAAATGTTATATAATATTATAAATTTATAACACCAAATATAACGTTGGTTCTATTAATTTAAATTGTTCTTTTTTTAATTCTGCTAATGTAATTTTTGACTAAACAAAAAAATTCTTTAAGTATTCAATATGTAATGTTTTAAAACAATTTTGTACCTTGAAAATTATATCAAAAGTTATTTTTGTTCCAACGGATATCCGGACTTCCCGGCTTTAAATGAATCTGTTATTTCTGTACAGTTGCTTAATTATTAAAAACAATGTAACAACATCTAATTCAGTATACAGGGTGAAAGTTTCGACATTTATTTTTTTTTCTCTATCTATTGCACTCCTTGCTTTTTACATTGAGGATTACTGATATATTTTTTTTATATTTGTTTCTTGGGTGGTTAACAAATAGGAAATTCGGTAAATAGTTTAAAAGTAAAAGTAATTATGTGGCTTGGTGAGGCATGGCCGTACGCTCCATCTAGGGCAACGCTCTGGGTCGTTGCTAGCACTCGGATGGGTGACCATCCGGGTATTTAGCAACACATCGTTGCCACGCATACAAACGTGTTCTGAACAACCATACCCCCCCCCCACACAGTACCAGGTTAATGATCTTTTAGTAGTTGAAGCCTTAATCCAAAAAAAAAAAACCAATCATATATTTTGAGTTTTGACGTATTATGATTCCAGAATTCATAAAGTTGATGTAATTATTTTTAAACATTAAAAATAAAATCAGTTCCTTGTAATCCAACATTGGATCTTATTTTTTTATAACCACAAGCTGAACATTATTATATAATATGAAAAAGATAATATTTAGTTCAAGAACTATTGATTTCATTTCATAAAGTGCGCAGCAGTGATTTTTGGCCCTATGATATTTGCAAAACAAAAGGTAAAATATATTATTATAGAAAATGTAGTTTCAATGAACTTGTTCTTGTTACAACTTTATCTCCAGTAAAATTCTACACAATAGAAATTTTTTATACTTTTGAATTTCGAACATGGCAAGGAATATAATATTAGTTTCACAAAGGTGATATTTTTTTTCTCCATTCATATTTTTATCAGTTACAACTTATTCTTTTTCCTGAAAAAATACATATTTTAGAACTATTGATTTGACAAACTATTATATTGCGATCATTTTTTGATTTTTTCATCAGGTTAAAGAATAACAAAAATTTTAAGTCAAATTTTTTTGATTCTTAGGGAAGCAATACATATATCATTTTTGAAATGAAACATTTAATGCAGCGACCGGAGACCGGATGTTGGCGTGGAGACGCGTCGCCACGGTCGAAACATCTAATGTGTCTTCAAAATAAAGAATATTTTCTTAAAATATCTGAATATTTTTTTTTCGATTATACCATTATGTTTATTTCCTTTAATAAACTATCCTTTCAACGTTCGTATATATTTTCTGTATAAAATAATTTCAATGTTTCACATCTGGCAGACTTCCTAGGACAGCTCTCATCTTGTTTGAATTGCTTACAATGAAGTATGGTTTTTTTTTAATTATTTTATTTGAGTTTGTCATCACATTTTTAAGCAGTAAAATGCTTCAGTTTTTTTAACTTTTAGAGTGTGAAGAAGAATCTAAAATGATTAAGTAATTTGGAGAAATCCAAATCTAACGTCAGCAAGGTACACGAAAATACAAAATACGCGCTGCAAACCTGTCCTTACCGACGCCTACATGGGGACGAACAACGGTGGACAATAGCAAACGAATCCGGACGGATCGACCGGCAAACAATAATGACAAGGGTCGAGTGTATATTATATTCTACAGATAACTATACAATTATATTAATATATAAATAAATATACACTTAATGATCCATTATTTTATCAAATCCATGATATTTTGACGTAGGTGGGTGCTATACTATTTTCTCGAGATATTTATAGCTATAATATCTAAAATGATAATATATATATTAGGTCAACCCGGTCTTAGGTTTGAGCCAACGGGACCATTTTAAGACCCGTGTCATAGGTTTCTAATACCCTAAAATGTTTTTACCCCCAGGGGTAAATATGTTTTAATTTATTTTTAAAGGCTGGGGGGATATTCCGGTGTAAAAATCGCCTGTTTTACCGGCTCTGATTAGTAGTTGATCATCAATTTAAACTATGTCGGTTGAAAATACAATCATCAATTTAATGCATCCCTCTATACTCAATCTGATCGTTATAATAGGCAAAAGCTTATCAAGTTTCTGAAAAACGATGAAATGTAATTATAAAAGACTATATTTTGAAATAATTGATGTCGTTCCGCTCTTCAAAAGTTTTGCGTTCTAAAAAAGTTCATCAATACTTGAATTCCTACGCTTGATGCTACGTCGCTTATAAAAATGTGTATAACACAGCATTTATAGAATTGAAACAAAGGATATAAAATGTCGATTTTCATAACCCAGTCAAACCGTGAGACCTTACTCTGCATTTGATGCAGCTATTCATTAAAGATATTTATGGTGGCTATGTATATGATGGATTTAGTTAGTTATGTAAGAACAAATTAATTTACGAATGCTAACGATCAAAATGGTATAATATGTAAGCAATTTTTTTACTTAAAATAATTACTCGTATCTTGCCTGTTACTTTTTTATACAATAAAGGGTACCTATATTAAATATTTATGTTAAAATCTTGAAAAAAAAATTAATAATTGTTTTTAGAATTCTATGCTTCATATTATGCTCATTGAGTTCATAATTTCATTAAAATTTATTGTTTGCCTCACTGATTGTTTAAAATAAAATGCAAACCTAGTTGCAGAACTCAATTAAATATTCTGTAGATAAAAATAATCGCTAGTTATAAATAATTGAATATTCTTATCAGATACAATCTAATCTTGTAAATTGATTTAAAGGTACTCAAATGCTACATTGATGAATCACGAAAAAAGCACTAACTATAAAGGTAATTACATATTCATGCTCTAATTCATGCGTAATTGTTGGTATATAAACTTAAATATAAATCTCACATGAAATAATATAATCCATGAGTTGAGTTTATTTTTCCAACTTATTTTATTACTTGAAGTGGGTATAACAGTCTCTATATTTTTAAAATATCATGGAATAACATCGATTGACAAACGACATCACCATATGAGTATACTAATTAGTGTTAAAATCTAAAACTATGAATCACTTAAATACTTAATAGTATTCGAAGAACTGACTCATCATTAAGTAAATATTTTTTTATAGGTACAATTATTTGAAAAATTAACTACATTAATTTAATTTCAAGTATGGTACGTTATTTGCTTACGTGCAATCAAAATTGTTGATCGGATACAATATTAGGTAGGTACGTGCAAAGTGCAATTAGTAGTAACAAATATGTGCATTAGCTGTCCTCGGCCCAAGGCTTCATGGAAATATCAACGTACACCCCACTACGCGTTAATAGATGGATGTTCGATTTCACCCTTTCTACTTACACACACACACACACACACATGCCAAATACCACCACTTCCAGGCCGATATATTATGTATATGCAAACACGTATACGTGATATAGACTGCTAAAGCAAATGTTGTGTTTTTTTTCAACTCAGTTACCTAGTGCCCATCGTCACAACGCGCGCACATTTTTTTCCCGTGTACACTTTACGTGAACTTTTATACTTATTATTTTTTTTGTTTTGTTTTTATGATATTAAATAGGAACGTTTAATCACAGCCACAGCATATTGTTGAGAATTTAACTATGGATTAATGGCAGGAAAAATGAAAGAAAATTCAAAATATAGCGACAAGTAAGTTTATGTCTAATTTTAATATAGTTATTATAAAACATATAAGTTCTATCATCTATGCGGAGGTGTAATGAACGCAGGATGTACAGATAAAAAAGGCTCATAAAACTTTAATATCGCTAAGTATACTTCGTTATTTAAATATTTTAATTTAATTTCAAACTATTAAATAATGTTTATCCTACAAGGTATTATAGCACAGTTAATATAATATATAGGTTAGGTATTTTTACTAACCTATATAATATATATATTAGGTCCCATAAAGATTGATCAATCAAAATGTATAAATTTAAAAAAATCTATTTTTAAATTTTAATTAACTTTATGTAAACATATTTCAATGCATATTAACTAACTTCCAACCTAATAAAATAATCTTATAGCTATATTATTAAAATTAAAAGTATTCTTAAAAGTATTTTAATTATCATGCATACCATAAATTAATAGAAAGAAAATCCTACTCATTCTTCATAATATAATAATTGTAATCAAAAAAAATTAATTGGAAAGTCAGTAACCCTGCAAGTTTATGATGTAGGTACAGCAAATGTCTTAATGTACTTTTTTAATACGTATAATACATTATGATGATAAATTGTATACAGCGGTAAAAAAGACCTATTATCACATGTTAGTATGTTAAATTTTACAAAAAACTAAAATATTTGCTTTACACCATAAACTGGATTAAGGTACTGACTTTCTAATTAATACTACTTCTCATTCATAATTTTGTGTTGTTATAATAATTTTCAAAATTGCAAATTGCCAATAATATTTTTTCTATAAGTAGATTTTAATAAATGTGATCTATCAAATTTTAATAAACCCAATATCCAGAATGTTTTTCTGCAGCAGACTTTTTCCCGAATTATTAAGCAACCACGTTTAACTCTCTCTGGTTAATTTTATATAACTTTTAAAAAACCTATCTACAAAACCAAATTATAACCAAAATAATCTAATGTGATATACACTATAATATGGTATAACATATTATGCAAATTAAACGTCATCACCAGCATAACTTAGTTCACATACAACCTTAATTGACATATTTTGAATAGGAATTTAGCCTTTCCAATTTTTTTAGTATTCTATTATATGGGGTCAACCTTATTTTTATAACGATTATGCAAATTATAAATAATAATACATATAAATTATAAGTTCTATAAAATGCATTATTAATAATAAATACCTACATTCTAGTGAATTAGTATTACAAGCACATTTTGAAAAATAAATCGAACTAATCTCATTTCACATCATGTTATTGTTATGGTGAAGTTAGCGACAGTTGAGTGTATAAAAGGCATTATATTTGATTTTTGGAATTAATATGTCATCATATTTTCTTATAAGCGATGTTGATCATCATTATGTTCAATAATACAGTAATTTAAGAATAGATACAAAAAATTCTCATTATTATTAAATAAATTGAAAGGTAGACTTTTTAATTATAAAATAATTTGATAATCTCATTAAAAATAATTACGACTACAATGATAATATTCGCAGTATATTTCTGACACTAAGCTAATAACAGACTATATTTTTATAAATAATCTTTTAAACTACAACGTTGATGACTTTTAACATTAAAAACCGTTTTAAAAATTGAATACAAAAAATCCTAAAATCCTAAAATGTATCCAATTTCAAATTATTATTATTAATATAATATTATTAGATTCAGAAACTAAAACATTTCTCACATAACAACCATTATCATAACCTATATTCAAAAATCGTTAAAATATTAAAATATATTATATTTATGTCTATTTATCTTAAATGTCTGTATATTTTAATTATAACAAATCCATGAAACGATTAATTTTAAAATACAGAGGTATATTTAACTGAATATATCAACATAAATCGAAAAAATATTTTTTTTAAAACCTGAGATGATGGTCTGCTTCGCAGTTAATTTCAAGTAGACCTCATAAATAATTAAGTAGGTCACTGTAATGGATGTGTTAAATTTGAATTCAATGATAAATCATAATTCATAGTGAAAACAATTCTGAGTGGTAACGACATCTCAATCACTATTTTAAGAGTATTATATAATTTATTTGTATTAGGTACAATTTGTAAATTATTTTTTATACAGTAGGTATGTTAATACAATTTTCAAAATGTTCCACAAAAATTTCTGATCGCATACAACATATAATAATTTCTATATTCTGCTATTGTTATTACATGAAAGTCAATTCTTAATTAGTACGTACCATAAGAAGGATTAAACCATCATGTCTTACGTCAACATTCGAACTTCAAACAGTTTAACATTGGGACCATTCTCTATCTTTAGAAAACTAAATATGTATTAAACCTTTATGTTTTTTGCAAAGAAAAATCTTATCATCATAAATCAAATGAAAAAACTAAAATAAGTCGACAATTTCAAATGTTTTTAAAAAGCACAAAGAATTAAAATAAATTTTTATATTATACCTAAATATTTGGTAAACAATTCGAGTATCTACTCTACAGTTATTTATTTTTGATTTACAGCCAAAAAACGAAATGAATTTTTTTTTGAAGATGGTATTGTGTAAATATTCCGTTATTAAATAAATCGTTTTTAGTTTAACATATTATTTTTTAAAGTATTAAAATACCATTTAACCATTAACCATTTAGGTACTCTTAAAATACCTTTAAAATCAAATTTCTTACCAAAAATAAACCTCAAAATTGAAAATTGAATATTTTTACTGCTCAAAAAAGCAATGACGAGCGAAAAAAACATAATTGTAAAACTAATATCATCGCTTAGAATCTAAAATGATCTCTGAAATTGAAAAAATAAAGATATTTAAATATCTGTACATCTATTTCTAATAATTATTATATTATAGTCATTTATGTGTTTAATGGGATAATACAATAGAAATCTTAAAACAATAGATGTGTTATATATTTTAATTTGTGGCAAGTTTAAGTATCAAAATAATCATAAATTTGTAGATATAATTTAATATTTAGGTATATGGCTTTTATTTAGAAAGTTGGAGGTATGACAATAATTCACATATTTAAAATATTGTATAGTAGTTTTAGTGGATAAAATTAAAACTATTATAAGATTAATAATTCAATATAATTATGAAAAAGAAAAAACAACACAATAAAATATGATAAAGTATTTACTAAACTCAAATCATAAATTAATGATACAAATCTATGTACTAAAAATGATACTATGAAAATACTAAGTAGGTACTTTAGATATTAAAAATAGTTTATATATGCAATTTTGAATTTTTCATTACATTTGACATTTGTAGGTAGGTAAAACGATTTTTATTCAAAACATTTTTAGGTTTACCTACCACAAATTTAATCAAAAAGTTTCTACATGCTTCTTTTAACCGAGGAAAAAAATTATTTGTATTTGTTTTTGAAAGTTATAAATGTACAATGCACAATTATTGTCTAACAATCCGTTTTGTTCAGTAATACATTATTTTATTATCTTGGTTGCTTAATTAAAATAATTGATACTAATTAATTGATTAAATATTGTTTTGTATTTTTGCAACATTCAAATAATTGTTTGGGTTATAATAAGTAGGTAAGTTAGAACGATATATAACTACACTAAATTTATTATTACATTAGACTTTTAATATTGCATTTATAAGCAACTAAAATCACCATAAGTGTGGCTTGGCGAGGCAAGGTCGTTTGCTCAATCTGCGGCCACGCTCTGAGCTTACGTACTAGTCGTTCGAATCGGTGACTACTCGGGTTTTAAGCAACATATCTCTGCCACACATACAAATATGTGTGTCAAATCAATCGTTTCCCTCTACAAACAGCTAATGGTCATGGTTGGCAGGCTTTAGATCAATAAAATAAAATTTAACAAAATAACCATAAGAAATAACAATATACCATTAAACCTAAACCTACATGTGTGTATGCAGTCCCCCAAGGGGTTATTTCATCTGAATTTCAAATAGTAACTGAAAATTGTGCCATAGCTAGAGGTTGGCCACATAGGTGAACGTCGACAACGCAAAAAACCCATCTAAAATACTTATACTTTCAGCGTAAAAAGAACGTCGATAAACTTATCATACAATATGAACGATACCTAACCCAACGTTGCCTACAAACGATTCAGAAAAATAATATTATAATTTAAATATAGGTTAGTTATGCCTTAGTATACATCCAGCAAATCTATGATGAACTGTACCTTTTGCGATTAGGAGCACAATTTTATACGAAATGTACCTAGTGATAATGGCGAAGAGACAAAATGTTGTTTTGCTTAATGTGCAATGAAAGCTAATTACGATTATGCACCTAATGATCAAATACTCAACATATTATGAAGAATAATTCAAAATATTATGAAACTTTGTGAATACTTGTACCTATTTGATATTTATATAGTTTTAAATTACAATCGTAAAAAACTTCTGAAGTTTTTTATTAACAAACATGACAGCTTTATTTGTGAAAATATTTTTTACTCGGTATATAGGTATGGATACTAAGTACGATTACCTAAATAACCAAGCACATTAAAAATATTTCCCACATTTTATTTTATTCTGTATTTTATAATAGTAAATAAATAATTAATTGTTTGGCTAATTAGCTTATCCAATAAATTAATTAATGTAACCTAATGCACACAAAAAATTGAATAACCAAGAACCAAGCATAATAATTAATAAATATCTTTAAAAAAATTTTTAATTATTTTAGGTACATTATATAAGCCAAGAAAAATTCGTTATAATACATCTAATTTAAATTAAATTTAGTTACAACCATACGATTCGTAATTGAAAATTTTAACTCTTCAATAAATGATCACAAAAGGGTGTGAAATCTTCAATGCATTTTTTTATAAGCACAGAACTCTGAAAACCATTAAGACAAAAGAATTTTAACTCATATATTATACCTACAAATATTTTTAAAACTCAAAATACAAAGAAAAGAAAAGATTAATAGAATAGTAAATACTTTTCAAACATTTTAATTGTTCTGATTTGAAAGTTATATAGTTAGATTGAGTTAAAGCATGCAACTTTTTTTTTTAAATAGCCTGAATACAAAATTATTTTGCTTTTAAAGAATACAAATAAAAAAGCCAGGTAAAGTTTATTAAGTTCTGGGTTTCATGTAAATATGATTACAATAACTCAGATTGTAGCTTTATTTTTCTACATAAGTATTATTTTAAATGCAATGCAAAAGTACCTACTTTATTAGGTAATAAAACGTGTTGAAATATTGGTCTCCAATGTTCATTTAGTAAAAAATCAATATGTACAACAAACAATAATTTATCACATGTTTGATGGTATAGAATGAGATACTATGTACAGAAGTGTGTTAAGGTAAACCAATAGCATTCAATTAATTTCGAGGATCTTTAAATATATTTGTGAAAGTTATTTTAACTATCAATTACATTGTCATCATATAATAACTCGAATGACTTAAGAATAATACAACATGAACAAATATACTTACCTTGATGCTTGTAAAACTATCGTGTTCAATTTTAAACCTTGAAAATGTATCATTGAATGAACATTGTTTTTTATTTTAGTTCTCTTTCATCCTTAAACGAATCAACTGGGTCGTTAAACAGATCGTACAACGATATCTCTGATCAAGAAAATGGTATATACGTCATAGTAAGGTGAGTCAAATAAAGTTAATTTTTTTTTATCCATTAATGAAAAAATTGTTCACATCAATAATTTTATCAATATTCAATAATTTCTGTATATCAGATCTCGACCATTAAGCACCAAAGAAAATAGAGCAAGTGAACCATCAATTGTAACATTTCCGGGAAATGGACGAATTTTGGTGAGTTATAAAACTTATATATTTTTAACAGACATACTTAAAAGTATTGAATGAATGAGAATAAACATACAGTATCTGTAGAAAAATTAAATTAAATTTTATCTATGTAACATCATATCATTAATATTGAGATTACTATACGCTCTTGATAATAATTATATTTTATATTATTGAATGCAAAAGTCACACGGCGTGTTGAGTATGCAATTTAACAGCGCCCGTGAGTAGTTTGTTCGTAATAATATCAAATTTAATGAATGTATAAATTGGATATAAATATTATGGCATTATAATTTTTGTGATTTTTATAATAATTTTTATTTTATTGACAAATATAGATAAAGAAAACAATTTAAGGTAAATGACAATGTCAATATAATTAATATTATATTTATCTATTTTCATCCATATATTTATCGCAATAAAAATATAATATATTGTTAAAATTGTAAAATATTTTATTAAACAATAAACTTTCTACTTATCCACAATTTTTATGAATATGAATATTTCGGCCTTGTGCTTATGTAATAAGAAATACAAGCAATGGAACATATTTAACCTTGGAGTACAGTATAGTTACATATTTACAATACAACTGATTATTTGTATAATTAAAATGTTATATTATATTTTTTTAATTACATAAAATGTAATTTAATAATAATACCAACTATTTATAGTAATTTTTTAGTTATCTACAGCTTTATTTGAAACAAATGTATTTGTTTTTTTACATTATTTTTACACTCGATTGCATAGTAAAAGCCTAAGTCATATTTCAATTTTGTATATTATTTAAAATGAATCAATTGATTGATAATTTGCATAAATAATATTTGTTTATTCAAACATAATAATCGTCATTTTCAGTTATTGCATAAGGCTGTCATACTAATTCTTTTTAAGTTTAATTTACTAATAGTTTTTCAAGTAGTAAAATATTTTTAATTATATTAATTTGACTTTCCATAGAAATATTAACTTATAACACTTACAATGACAAGTATATTATAATAAATAAACTATATGTATAATCATTGTTGTCAAATGAATAAAAACTATTTGTACTTATCATGTGTATTATTCAATATTCATATTTGATGTATTATATGATTCTTCTTTTTTCTCTAATTTCAAATTTAAAACTTTTGTTTTTGATAAAATGTTTATTAACATTATTTCTAACATTTTAATAATTTTAATATGCAATTACAATAATGTAAATATAGGAAACACTAATTGCCAAATCTTCGAAGCGAAATAAAGACCAATAAAAAAAAAATCATGTTATAATTAGGAAAAATAGTGATTTTTTCTGAGTTAGAACTTTTTATAACTTGTTTTTTTAGTTTTGTATTTAACGAGTTAACTATGATTTATTATTAGAATATTAATGATTTGTAAGTCAAGGACATTAAAAATGTGTCCCATGTTCTTAATTAGTGGATGAAAATACTAAAGTTTTTTGTCTACTTCACTTTTAAGTGAAAAAAATTAACACTTAACAACATTTTGTATTTTAATCCAGAATTTTTTTTTAAATACTACAGATGTATCAATAAATTATAGAATAAACTATAATACTAAACTGTTGCATTTTGTAATAGTAATTTTTACTTAGGTAGGGTACTAAAAAGATATTAAATTATCAAGTTTATTATTAATACTTTTTTCTTTAACAATCCTTGATAATCGTTGTAAAGTAATAAAATACAACATTTAAATAAATAAATATTTATTACTTAAGATACATAAACACATTATGACGTAATAGACATTACATAACTGTAACGAATATTACTATTTTTAAGGTATTCTTAAATCATGTTATGGTTTATTTAAATATTACGTTATAAAATTAAGGATTATATATGTATGAGTTAGTTATTACAAACATTGCAATTTACAGTTCGCAAATAAGCATTTATACTGTCGCTTATAACTTATTGTATTGCAAAAACCATAATTATTATTATTATTTAGTTTTAGTTTCATGATAGTCATTAAGATGTTTTTAAAAATCTAAGTGGGCTGACTCTTTATTCTCGATTTCTCAAATCTTTGTATACTTCATTTTCAGAAAAATGTTCTCTTCGACAATTAATTTTAAAATTAAATACTTTTGTTTTAGAACTGAAAGTTGAAACTATGGAAATAAATTATGGAGGGAATACAAATTGTCACCTATGCAATTATGATAAATATATGTTATTATTGCTAAAAGTTTCCATAAAATAAAATAAAATTTTATTTTAAATAAAGAGAAATGTTTGTCAAAAACATCCATTCTATACTTAAACAATATGCATATTTTCACCTAACTACAAAGATAGTTCATATTAAAATATCTTATGTACACATACACAATTGAAACTAACATGAAATACTAATAATAATATTATATTCAATATTCAAGCTTTTTTTATTTTAAGAGTGATAAATATTGACTTTTGTCATATGTTCATGTCATAATAATAAGAACTATTTTCATGCTGTTTTTCCAAAAACATCAATGCCATAAAATACAAAAACCATTATACTTACAAAAAGAATATGTAATCAATATTATTTTAAAAAATGTGTCAGATTACAAAATAATAATTGTTCAACATATTATTATAGATATTGTCATGAAATTCTTTAAATAAGCCACATACAAATAAGTTAGAATAAATTTCAATATGCACAAACAAACGGAACACAACTAACAATTAAATAGTGTTTTTGTGGAATTGAAAAATCTTGCACCTTCGTTCACTTTTAATCTAAAAATATTTATTAAAAACTTAAGTCTAATAAAGTTGTACTAAATATTTTTAAACGATTGGTATAATGCGATATGCAAGCTGTGTAATGTATCTAAACACTAATCGTGTTATCCAATTAATTATTTACTGTTGTTTAAACATTATGATTTATTAATATTTTTATTTTAAATATGTCATAATATTCATGTTAATGTGTGATATTTTAGGTGGAAGGATTTCAAACAATCGGTGGATCAAATGGGCCCAAATCTAAACTGTTCTCTTTTAATGTCGTATTTGAACCGGCGGCCACGCAAGAAGACATATTTCAATATTCAGGCATCAAGAAGCTCATCGAGATGGCCGCTGAAGGTTTCAACACCACTTGCTTTTGTTACGGACAAACCGGAAGTGGTAAGACTCACACACTTACGGGGCCACCAGGAATGGTGAGTTTGCAATATTATTATTATCAAAAACACAAATTTATGTATACATTTCATAGAATTTATAATCTTATGGATATCATATTTCGTTAATATGATCTATAATTATGTTATAATCTTTTGGTTTGAAAAAATAATACTAAACTGATTAATTAAAAGTCGTTGTATGTTATTATAATAAAATATAATAAAAATATAAGTTAATGAAAAATAATATAGTTTTTAATCTCAATAACTTGTAATAAGGATTGATGACTAGCTTGGGATCTAAAAATGCAGTAATTTCTCTGAGGGTATTTTTGGTAACATGGTTTATATTAAGTTGCTAAAAATCAATAAAAATCAATTAATAAAAAGGTGGATCGACTATATAGGAGTGGAGAAGACAGCTTGTTTGTTTGCTTTCCAAGTGTTGAACGAAAAATGCTGATCAGGTGATGGATGTATTCGGTACCTATTTTATTTATAGCGAAACGTTTCACGTCGTCCTCCTCCGAAAAAGAAAAACTCGGGTCATCTCTTTGTATGTTTAAATATATGCGTATATTATGTATGATAATATATGTATATTGTATATGATAATATAATTTTAATACATCCCTCGGTACTCTGACGGTGTTTGGGCATGTTGGTATTCACTTGGCAAGGTCGTCGTCGTCGTCGTCGTTGTCGTTTTTCACCACAGCGGTCTGTTCAATTTCCTCTCTACCATCACGGGAAATTGCTACCTGCCCACAACACCTCATCGTGTCCGTGTCCGCTATTTAATACCCAAACGCGCACTTTGATTTCAATATTCTGCATATTATCTCTGATAATACATTAAGTGAATATCTTACGAAACTACATGACCCACAGCCCGTAGGCAACCCATACCTATCATACACACGCGTGACCGCATGTAGTGATGATAGTAGTGGCGATGTGTGTGTGTGTGTGTGTGTGTGTGTGTGTGTGTGTGTGTGTGTGTGTGTCCATGTTTATAATATCTTCTGCCCCACACACAAAATTACATAGGAAACAAATTAATTATATATTATGTTAATATTATGTGGCTTAAGGTGTATATTGTATTTTTTTTTCAAGCTACTCCGTTTAAAGTTTACACTGTTATATGTCTTGCTCATCGACATATTTATTCATTTAAAATGCAAAGAATAAAAGCAACAATAGACAAAATAATTATTAACCAATATTTATTTACTGATAAAACACAATGGGAAAATTATTCATATTATGTTCATGTTAGATATTGAGCAGTGGGCGGAAATGATTGTTTTACAGTGAAGTTTTTTCATATAAAAATAATGTATCAAGTCAATCAAATATACTGATTAGGTCAGTTTAATGTATCCATCCCTAGTAGATAATACGTTTTACCTAAATTGTTCTTTTGAGAGGTAATTTTTCAATTTTTAACACTTTTAAAAATTTCGTTATGAAAATATCGAAAAATCATAGAAAAACAGTAAAAACACGACTTTTTCGAGTCCTGTATTATCTTGTTATTCTTTCATATTACTAAAAATAAAAAAAACTAAAATTCCGAAATTCTGAAATTCCCAACAAATAGTATTGAGTAATTTAGTATTGACGGTGTAAAAATGTTCAGTATTATTTTTTAATCTAGAGTTATTTATAGACATTTTAGATGTCGATTTTTACATACTAAGTTATGTGATTTTCCACTGTTTCTTCTTTTATGATGTACCTAATTTTAGACTTAAACACAATAAATACAAAACTAACTACATTAATTTAGTTTCACAAAACATTCCTCAAAATTATTTTAATGAACACAATAATTTATCATGGCTTTCAAGTGCAATACACCTAAAACAGGTTACCTACTTTATTATGAGATACACTTAAAACTTACTATAGATCAGACCGAGTTTTTCAGTTTTAATTTTATTTATAGCTATAATACAGTGCAATTTTCATATATATTTTATTTATAAGTGTATACAACTCCTAAAAAAACTATAAAACATTTAAAATATAGAATATTTAAATCATTTAATATTATTAAGGCCTACAGGGTCATTCACCAAGCATGCTCAATCCCTTTTTTCTTCAATAATGCAAATTTAAAAACCACTTATACCACCTATACATAAATATATATATATCACTTATACAGCCATATTTTTGTATACGTTTTGTTTGTGGAATTTAAATTCGAATGTTTAATAAATCGGAAACTACTCGTTCGAATTTAATTTAGATATAAGGACATTTTCAAAAAAGTTGTCTACTGAATAGTTTAAAGTAAAAAAGGGGTGGTTACCGGTAAAATACGTACAGGATTTTTCTTCACTGCAGGACACTTATTAAATGGTATACAAATCTGAGTACCTATTTGAATTTATTTAAAATTCTAAAAATCAGGTTTTAAATATCTGTATTATTACAAAAAGAAGCTGGTTGAACTTGTTTGGCGAATCACCCTCAATATTTATATCTAATGTATTTAACCGACATTGAATTATGTTTATATTAGGTAATGTTACGAAAATTCTCTTGCATTATAAAATGCATAGGTAGGCGTACTAAATTTCATCAAAAGTATAACACAATATTTTCTAAAATCTGATATAAATGTATTCCTAGAAAAAGTAATCCATCAGTTCAATAGCACTGTAGCTAGTAGTTACCGAAAATTATGTTTTGTTTTGAATACGACGTGCGACGTGTCCATCTGCCATACAAAAATGTAAACGCTTAAAAGTTGTCCGTTGTGTGGATATTCTGTAAACCCAAACAACTTACAGTGATAAATTACAGACTTGTGTCCAAGTGATATATATTATTTTAATATGACAAACATAAACCACCGTAAATCATCCGCAATCATATTCACATTCAAAATTATACTCATTGAGAATTGTATTAGTTTAATTTGGCTCCATTCCCATCAGCAATATTTTAGGTTTTAAAATGATTTTAATTCCGAATAAAATATTACTCTCGTACTTATTTTTAATTGTATTCAATGTTATGTTTTTTCTCGTTACCCACTTCTCAATTATTATAACTATATAGTAAATTTAAAAATACAAATTTATTCATATTACTCATGTATATTAATTTTACAAATTATCTAAATTTTAAAAACTATAGCAATTTTTTATTTATTTCAATGGTTAACTTTGGTGCTATTATTAATTGATAATAGGTACATTTTTATTTTTATTTTACAATATTAATAACTGATACTTGATAATGGATATGTTCACTAAATAAATGATTTGAGTTTAAAAGCACTAAATAATAAAAGAATGTAATTATAATACAATAATGTATGAGTATGAAAGAGCAGGTATATCCAGCTTTTTTATCATACATATTTCAAATTTGATATTCTTTGTTGATCATAATTACTATAAACTATTTCATTAAACTAAAATATAATTTACAATATTATGAATTACTTTTGCTGAAATACCCCAACTATCCATGACATACAAATTCCAAGTATAGGACCATATAAACATATAATTAAAATATATATACACTATACAGTACTTATCAAGTTCTGTTTTTGAAATAATAATCTACATTTTGTAATAATACAATTTGCTAACTAAAATTAATTTGATTATTTTTAGTTTTTCAACAAGCGCATTGAACCTTTTTCCGCGGATCATGGTCTAGTATTTCGATCATTTATGTACCTATTTCGATTGGTACAACAACGACAAGATCTTCATTTTGTACTCAAAGCTTCATTTCTAGAAATTTACAATGAAAAAGTAATTTACCAAATCATATAATATATACCTACTCAATTATTTTGTTGGATAATTTAACACTTCAACACATTTGTATATGCAAATCGATAGGAGTTCGTTGAACTCAAACATTTTTGCAATCATTTGTGTTGGGTTTGAATGAAACATTCAACTCAACTTCGATATACCTATTATGTATTGATATATTATATTCGTCTTGGACATGTCCAGTCATTGAACTTAAAAAAAAACATTTTATACAATTTGTATACAATAAAAATAAGTTTAATGACCCAGACAAAATATTATATTAATACCACTCACTGAACGGACAAGTGTTTTAATTTAATCTAATGTTGAAAATAAATTATAAAGGTGATAGATTTATTGAATCCAGGAACTGTCAGAAAGCCATTAGAAGTGAGATGGTCCAGGAAAGCCCGTAACTTTTATGTTGATAATTTGTTTATGGTGGACTGTGAAGAATTAGATGACCTACAAGCTGTGCTGGAAGAAGGTGTGTAGTGTATCATAAATGTATGAAAAAATTGTCCTTGTTTTTCAAATGCAATAATAATACCAATCAATTAAGTACATAATTATATAAGACGTTACTACGAAATTCAAAAGTTAACTTATGCGGCCTATTATATTATTAAATTAAAAAATATAAGTACATATATATTTTTTTATTTTTTTATACGTTGTATGGTATTTTGAAATTTTTTATATTTTAAATGAAATTGGAAAAGTTATTATTGAATTTTTAAACTGCAGAAAATGTTTTTATTTACTTTAGGCATGAAAAACAGAACAGTAGGAAGCCATAATATGAACGAATGCTCCAGTAGGAGTCACACGATGTTGACAGTGTATATAACATCTGAACAACAAGTGAGTATAAGTATACATTTATAGCTATTTGCTTTTAAATTATTTTAACACATTTTTAGAATATAATTGCCGATTCATTATCCCTTGGTTTTTATTAATTAATTTTAAGTACTTTCAGAGTTTATTTTCTACATTTGGATTATTAATTTTAATAATTATTTACAAGTACAAATAATACATTGACATTGGGCTAATAATTGTTTATTTGCTTGTATTAAAATAAAGTCAACATTTTAATTTAAATGTATACAAATATTAATTTTATGCTCATATGACATTATTCATACGAAAATTTAAAACCATATAATGAAAAAATTGTGTAGTCTATAAATAACTACAAAAAAAATCTGATGTATCAGAGAATAAAATAGCTAAAAAGACATTACACAGTTATAGTAACTCTTCCAGTGATTAAAAATCATAGGCCAAATTCATTAACGTTTATTGTTTATATCCTAATAGGGATTGAGTTTAATCATTGAATGACTTAGATCCCATATCTACTCCTCCCTCAGCTATATTAATATTTTATTTATTTAAGAAATTAACTTTTAAAGCATCAATGCAATTGCAACACATAACATAATTTGCCTTAAGGATATGCGTTGTAATTTAAAGGGATCTTTGAAAAAAAGTATATTTTATATTTATTAATAAAATATTTTCAAAATCTAATGAACGTAACTAATAGGTACTTTTTATTCTTCTCAAACGTGCGATATCATTTTCCTATTAAAACTAAAAAAATTGAACCAATAGTATTATTATTAATATTATCATTATTATACTCGTATGTATAGTTTATATACTTGAGTTGTAAGTACAGTAGAAGTTAGCCACTAAAAAATTGGATGGCCCAATCACTAATATCCGATGAAAAAATTATTTTCAAAAACAATATAGACAGTGGCAATAAGATTTATCGATAAATATAAAATATATTTATAAATTATATCAAAATATAAGAAGTTTTTTTTTTACTAATTGTATAACTATGTTTTCCCAAATATATTTTGAAAACGTTCACAATAAAATATTGTGAGCTAGAGTTCTTAAAACATGTTTGAAACACTTACGGTATAATATTTTTGCAATCAAACAATGTCACAAAGAATGTCTTAAAATGTGTTCAAAATATACACTCTACATTATTTTGGCAAAAAATTACAACAATATATTTGCAACATTGATAATCAAACACTGTCACAGACGATTTCATAAAATATGTTGAAAATTGTAGCTATTGAAAAGTTTTACTAAAAATGTGTTGACAACATTACCTTTGCATATTATGAAAAGGTGGTATTCGCTACCAAAACATAATGTGACAGTATGTTATAATCTTAAAATTTTTAGCAATATTTACATTTTTCTCGCAACATTTTCAAAATATAATTTTGCTGTGTGGGTTAATACATTATTTCTACCAAAATAGCTGTGGTTTCAATAAATAAACACATTCAGTAAGCCCATAGTACCATTATTACCATATATATACTACATAATAATTACCTGGAATTTTGTAAATATTGCATTATTTATCACATAATCTTCACATACGCTAAAATAAATTATTTTAGTCGAAAGTGACTAGATGGATTAGTAAAATTAATTTATGTGAACATAACTAAGAGCACTGATTATAACTACATCGTTAGAAATCTAATTTTTAGTCAAATCTAATATATATAATTTACTGCATTGAACTATCTGCCTGTTATTTTTTATTTCGTATTAAAAAATGTATACTTATATAAAAAACTGGATTACAATGGTATTTTTCATGGTAAAAAATGATACATATAAATAAGTACCTACATTTTATATTTATATATATTGTCTTACTTAGTTGTTGTTTATTTTTAATTTAACTACAAAATACATTAGGATTCTTAGTCTGGTATTAATTTTACGATTTTATTACACGACGTTATTACATTATTAATTGTATCATTTTAAATTTGAAAAATTGAAAAATTACGAATAATATAAGTATTAAGTACTATATGTTTACATTACTCAATTTTGTCCAGCAATACACAATAAAAAAAAAAATTTCCTATGGTTTAAAACGACTTATTATTGAAATTAATATAAATTTGTTTTAATTTACAGTAAGCATAATATGCAGTATTATATGTATTCATTATATTTAATATTTTTACTGATTACTTTTAGATATCTGAAGACGGCGTTTTTATCACAAAACAAGGCAAAATTAATTTTGTTGATTTGGCTGGCAGTGAAATGACTAAGAAAACCATGAGTGAAGGAAAAACTTTAGAAGAAGCAAATAATATCAACAAAAGCTTAATGGTTCTAGGTAGTACATAATTTATATATATATATTTGTATGTAGCTTATGGTTGATGCACCCCGCCATTAATGATCAATATATTATGCAATTAGTTTATGGGTAAAGTGCTGTGTACAATTTATGCACAAACTAGTCATAACTATATCTAGGCCAATTCGGAATCCAAATTGTCTCTGTAATGACTCCAAAAACTAATTACATAATGTATTGCAATATATAATGGTGAGGCTGATCAACAATAAACTAGACAGGTAGGTTAACTACTTTAACTACTAATTAAAAAGTATTTATTATATTATAATATTAATTCGCCTTCTGTTGGTTGCAGTACATATTAGAATAAAGTGGTTCAACGTAGAAAAAATGTGTCCATCTGATAATCGCTATTAACACATAGTTAAAATACGGTCAAAGTGTTATGTTGTGTGACTTTCTAATTGCTATAATACTACACTATTTTCACCACCATTCTGGCATTGTTTTCGCTCAAAATTATTAAATAAAATTATTTTTGGTAATAATCAGGGTCTTCAACTTTTTAATCGATATGTCACGACAGAATTGTTGGCTAAGCAGTCGAGGTCAACCTTTTGGTAGCCGTTGAATAAATAATAAAGATATTTTCTTGGGGTCATCATTCCGCAAAAATAAAAATAGAAAACATTACCCTTTCGATCGATAACACCCTTACCTATACTTACTTACAATCATGTGTAGGTAGTATATACCTATCAGTGCAACACAACGTGTCAAACGGAAAAGTTGGCCCCCGCCACAGTAAGGGCGGGGGAATATATTATGGTCAAGAAAAATGAAAAGTAGACTTCGTTCGTGTTAATGAGCTTTCTTTTTTTTCTCACTCAGGATACTGCATAGCATCTCTGAGTGATCCTAAGAAGCGGAAAGGCCACATACCGTACCGAGACAGTAAACTTACCAAACTCCTGTCTGATAGTTTAGCCGGCACAGGTGTCACGTTAATGGTAGGTAAATTATTATTAACTTTAATGACAATATTATAACTGTAGATAGAATTTAAAATAAAAATCTCATACATAAATACTTGTATTCGACACGGTCGTACAATTGAATCCATTTTCTTTTTGCTTCAATGTTCAAAAATAAATAACAAATCCAAACTTCGTTACATAAAATAATACAAATAATACATATTATGTATGAATTTACATATTATACAAATAGGGTGGTTAGCCACCGTATTTTCCTTTAATTATGCATTTATTCAAATACTGAATTTTTAAAAACCATATCTACTTGTCGTATGATTTAAGGAGAGTTACTAACCTTTTTATCCTTATATCTTTAGAATACTAAGTTTAATAACTCTGAAACTAATCTTTACAACACAATTCATATAAATCAACAATTCAATAAAAACCATCTGCTTGACGATTCACAACAAATAAGGACGGATAGCATCTGAAAAAGTTTTTACCACTATAAGACATATTGTCGCACTGAATTATTTCCAGGCATATAATCATCCCCATTTTTCTTCCATTTATACATCTATTCAAATTATATATTGAGAATTTTTCATTATACTTAAAGAACATATTTTCAAATACTTAGATTTTTATACTATTTAAAAAGTGTCTTGTAGCGAAAACAACTTATTTTTTCAAATGTGCATCGCATTTTATTTTTTCTATAAATTATTCAGCAGACGACTTTACTGAACATGTTGATGTATCTATCTAAATCAAAATTTGAACAAATAGTATTTTAGATTATCCTTAGTACACAAAGGTTAATAGGCTTCAAAGATATGGATTATGGTCTATGATTATCAAAAAAATTATAGTAGTTAATTATTTATTAATCTGTTAACATTTTAAAATGGTATACAAATTGACTAAGTATAATAAGTATATATGTACCAGATTAAACATTACGTTTATTTTATATTATCATCAAACTATTTTTGAGGACATAGTATCAACAGTTATTAAAATTTTAATGATTCAGAAACTACTTGTTCAAATTTCCTAAAGAAAAATCCACTGCTTAACAATTTGCAGTAAAAACCATTGGTTTTTATTGGAAAAAAACTAAGTTTATTAAATCACCAATAGACCACAGTACTATACTGGTATAAAAAACTTGAAAAACTGTTTGAAAAAATGGTACTTGAGTATACTTAACAAATTCCATAAATCAGAATTTGAATAAATTCATATCAAAGAAAAAATGGAGCTGAGCATGCTGGGGGAAATCGTTTGTATAAGTGTACGTGAATACATATTATATTATATGTAATTATATTTTATTCGTTTTACTAATGATAAAATTAACCGATATTATACATTTATACTCCATATGAATAATTATTTAAATTCTTATAATTTATGTTTGACTGAACAGATAGCATGCATATCACCGGCACGATCAAATGCTAGTGAAACAATAAGCACGTTAAGGTATGCAGCTCGTGCAAAAAAAATCAAAACCAAACCAGTGATAGTTATGGTAAATATAATTTTTAATGGTTTCGTTAATTTATATCAAACTATAAACACTCAATTTTAATGTATTCGTGATTCTTCATTTCGATAGTAATATTTCACGGACGCTTTAACGTTTTCTTTGACAATTATTATTAGTTTACAAATTGAATTATTGTATTCAACTAATATCTGGATAGTTGAAGATATAAAAGCAGTATTTTAAAATTAATGTATGATTTTATCATATTTTAATTTTTCATTCTTAAATTAAATGAACAATTATTATTATTATTATTATTATTTTTTTTTTTGTTGTTGATATTTGATTACTAAAATTATAATTTGTTCTTTTGTAATCTTCTATAATATTATATTTAAAATGAGTAGTTAACAAAGGCATAGAGCATTACTCATTAGCGTATTTTTTGAAAATCGAGGGACAAATTAATAGCAAATAAAATTAATATGTCAGCAAATATGTGTCCAGATCCGTCCAATTACAATTCATATTACATAAATTTATCAATAATTCATTTTCAAGTCACATAAAGAGAAAATAAAAAAATGTCTGACTAAAAATACCATGTACTTATGCATAAAGATCTCTATTTGTTTTAATTCACGTCACAGCATTAAACAAATATTCTTCAATTATATTTTTGATATACCTTAAAAGGTAATCTACAAGAATACTAAACTTTAAAAAGCTTAATATCATTTAAATAAAAAACCACTAAAGCTCCCTATGATAAATAAATTTTAAAAATAATATTTATTGTTACATTAACAAACGAAATATTTGAAATGGCTGTCAGTGAATCGTATAAACTTATACTAAACAATAATGAGTTTAAACTTTAATATTATAATAAAAAAATGGCCGCACAAATAATAAATTGTATGGTTTAAACGCATAATATATTGACACCAAATAACAATATTTTCAACTATGATTAAAACAACATAATTTAGTTAAAAGTACAACACATATTGACGTGAGACATGGTAATAGAAAAAAACAAAACATTTTGAAACTTCTATATTCTACCCAAAACGAAACATAATAAATTCTTCGCTTTTCTTGTAGGTACATTTTTCAAAATATACCTATAGCAGTAGTCCTTTTTTATATGATAATACATGTCACTAATCCATCAAGAATATTATAAAAACTAGGTAACTATTGGCTTATAAGATGTATAATATTAATATTCAATACCCACAACACACCATTTTACATCGAAATGTAACAAATGCCAAAAAATAAGTTTCCATGTACCTACTATTGAATAGAATTTTTTTCAAAAAAAATCGTAAAATGCAAACAATTTTATTGTATTCTAACTGTCAAAATAAATGTATGGTACAACTTTTTTGATATTATCGCATAAAACTAATAGGTATAATAAATAACATTTGCTCACCACACAATAAAAACAAACTACTTAATTTATTATCGGGTATAAGTACGTAACAAATACATTTCATATATTATCTTAATATTCGAAGTTAAATATAGTTTTAAAAAAGGGTATTTAATGTCTCTTTTTTCTAACGACGTCATCGAATAAATTACAATCGAATTTCGATAACCCAAATGTAATAAAATTCTAAACTAAAATTATCGACAACTTTGAAACTTAAAACGAAAACATATTACGAGTAACTGACAAGCGATACGATTTTATCAAAAGGATCTCATTTTATTCTTTATTTATTTATTTAATCATGTTTACTTGTATACGTAGCAAGCTCGGTGTTTTTAAAATAGTAACATTAACAAAGTGATATAGTAATAGATAATGAAAGAATTATGTGCAACACAGTAGGCAAATAGTTATTAGAAATAGAAACTTTAAAGCTAAAAAATTAGAATAAAAAGTATAAAAATCACTGGTCAGCGTAGAATGATGGATCTTCGTTCGTCAATTTCATAATTCGTAGAATTAGCCTAACCGGCAAGAATACGAAATGGTAAGTAGATATTGACGGAATCTAATGCCTGGGACTCTAAAATTCAATTTAAACAACTGAACAAACACTGCCGTCAATAAGTTTGCACAAAAAGATAGGTTACTCCACTCTCCTTCCATTCGAAGTGGATAGATTTAGATAATGTGATGTATCGGTGAATAATAGAATATACTATATTAAAATGTTTACGAGTTACCCAGGTTTAAGATACGGAGATTTCATTAAATTTTATCCTTATTTGACATTTTAATTAAATTCAAAGCCACCTTTTTTCTCTCTTCCAATTAACTTCTATCAGTAGCCGAGCAAATCATTGTAATGTGTACAACATTTCTATCGAAAAAATATGTATAGAGAAGTATTTCATATGATAAAGTGTCCATTGAATGTCTACAACACTTAATACAGACATTGATAAATATTGTTCGTCGAAACCGAAAAAGTCCATTATACTTCAGAAATACGTAGGTAGGCTTAAATGATACCGAATTAATCAATGTTGCCGTTTTCTTTCATCCAAGTTTCGTCAAATAACTTAATACGAACGGTGGTAAAATTGTTTTATTAAACTTTAACCTGTAAGGCTGTAACAAATTATCATTGTACGATGAAATATAATGCGAATTATTTAAATAATAAAATGTTGATACAACGAAATGGATTATACACTTATTCATCTTACACGTATTTCCATACATTCAGAGTACATTTAATAACAGACATAAATTGGCGCAGGTAATTAATTGCATGTAAAATATAATTAAATGCTCAATAGTGATACTTGTTAGTTATGAATAATTGATAAGAGATAATTTTAGTGAAATATCGTTTACAACACCACGTATAGAACATAATATTATGTATACAAATATAGTACATACCCTTTTTACAAACTTCAACATAGTTTGTGCTATATATACTATGTAATAAACTCACACAATCAATTTAATTTGAAATTATCAATATAATTATAATATTCGATTGTCACGAGTAAAAATATTAATTCTGATTGAACATTTTCATTTTGTTTTATAATAAGTCAAATCGTAAATTATTAATACACCTATCATGATAAATTGTTTTTGTGACACTTTCCGTTAAAATACTTTTATACCCACTTGTTGTTATATTATAACTTTCGAATATAACTATTAATTTCGTTTAAGTATGACATACAAACGGCAGTGGATCAATATTTCGACTATTTTGTTACACATTTAAAGCTTTCATTATTCTGACGTTTCATAGAAATAAATTTCATTAGTATATCTAATTTTCCATTTACCAATTTTTGTTACACAAACTTTTATATACTTTCATAAACTGTAATTTTATCCTCTTTAATAAATGATTCAACTTTACTTGAAAATCGTGATACACTGATACCACTAACTATTTCAAGTTTCTATTACATATTATTTTCACACTAAATAATTTGGAAATTAGACAAACACATAGGTGATACTTATTCAGACAAAATTAAATAGCTATCTTTGTTTATTTCATTAAATTATTCAATCTTATTTGTGTTGTAACAAATCAGCACAATTTACAAAAACAAAATATAATTTATTATTTAACATTAATATTTATATTATAAAACATATATTAGCATTTTAATTATTAGTTATTAGCTATTACTTATATTGACACACTTCGTTGCTCTAATCCAGGTGTTTACGAATATAAATTTCCATAGAAATACATTTTTATCTATAAATTTAACATAGGTTGTTTATTGGGAATAAATGATATAACATATATTTTAATATTGTGCATGGTATAATTTTTAATATTTACCTATGCAAATATTGCTTTTTAATACATATTGTATGGTCATAGAGTATATAGTCATATCGACAATAGTTATTTTTTATATGAACTCAATACTTGTTTTTAATCATCAAAAATACTGTTTTTATTGAAACTAAAAAAAAAACAATATTATAAACAAGTTCTTCAGATAAAACATGTTCATTTTCATTTCTGGCTGTTTTCCTAATATTGCGCCCCTATTGTCATGTATTTATTTTCGTTCAATGAATGTTAACGAACACCTGCACATCAGTAAAAAGCGTCCTTCCTACAGAATGGGTCAAAATAATGTAGGTGCCCATCTAAATAAAACAAATATACTATAGGTTTTATAATTATAAATGTTTGTCCTACGTGTTCACAATAAATTATGGGTACATTAGTTTAATTAATCTCTATAATAATATGAAATATATTATAATTCAATTTAACTAACTACGCCAATTGGCATTGCACATTATTGATTTAACATATAATTGTTGAATTGTATATTATGCACTAATAGAAAAAATTTTAAATGTTCATTAATATTTGCTTGAACATAATATATTGAAAATTAAAAAAAATAGATTTTTTTATAAAATATAAAATGTATATTACTACAGGTAACACGCATAATATTTGAATTTTAAAATGATAAAATATTAGTAGGATAGTATTTGAAAAATATCTTACACATTTTATGAAATCTATGAATCCAAACCAAACATTTCAATAGATCTAAAATATTTAATTTAAAAAATTTGTTTTAATGCAGAATTATTTAGTTAAAATTGTATCTTAGGTGTACGATAATATATGCTATCCATCAAAATCAAATTAAAACATTTCAGGTGATGTTATAAGAATATTTTTAAAAATATAGTCCAATGTACTCTTATATAAAATATGAGTTCCCCACTTTGGACATTAATAATATATTTGAACATTTTCACTTTTGATATAAAATTGTAGACATTTTGATTTATTCACGTTTTTGGTTATTTCAACACTTGAATATTTTATAGACATCATAAAATGATGTCGTGAACCCATTTTGATGAGTTCAAAGTTTATAGATATAATAGCTAATAAATTGAAATGAACATTTAAAAAAAAACTCATAAATCATAATCGATGAAAAATGCTACGAAATTACCGTACCTAATTTTTAAACTTAAATAATGTATTCATTTTATTTCTTATCCATGCAATACCTTTTAATCAACTTTTTATAATGGCGAGACATCGCTTAATATTTAAAAAAATAATTGTTCTTTCTTAACTTTAGTGTAAAAATACTAAACTCAACAATTAAAATAATTAGATTAATCTAGCTAGCCAGTTGCACGAGTGCCTTTAGGCAGTAATAATCATATAATAATAATATATACATATATGTACTATGTACAATATTGTACATTATACATAAATATATTATCCATATTACATAACTGAAATAACGATAATGACATCATTTTATAACGAGGTTTGTAAAATGAGGTGAGATGTCAATATTGTTATCAATTATGGGAATCTGATGTGAATTTTTTTTTTAAAGGAGTCAAAGGGTTCAATAAAGTTTTAAATTCGTTCAGAAAACTAGACCGTCTAGACCTATATACCAAACCTATATAATGTGATATTTCAATTTTCCTTTCCGGGTACGCCATTCTTATCCTACCTACACATACACAATTATACTTGTTCTGCTCAACTTCCCTGCAAACATTGGCCTGATAAATCCTAATTTAGGTGTCGCGTTATTTCCGAGCACGTCAGTGACATAACAACTAATAAGCAGTAAAAATAAAAACCAAACAAAAGCTAATTCTCAGTTTATACGACGATGATTATCACGTATATATTCTGATGATGGCTGTATGAGTGTCATTACAGCTACTTGTTTGTACTACAGGACCCCAGAGAAGCATTAATCGTCAGTTTGCGGCGTGAGGTGGAGGCGCTGCAGAACGAAAACGATCATTTGCGGAAGGCTTTGGATATTAACAAGACGTCGTCGGCAAGTATTTCGAGTAAGTTGAGTGTGCACGGACACCGTTTTTTTTGGGGGGGATAAAAATATTAAAAAATATACCATTTTAATGATTACCAGTTATCACGAACAAATAAACAATGCGATTATGCAAATACTTAACGTCATGCTAGTACTGCTGTTGGGATTAATGAGAGATTAGCCTCCACCAAAAAGATAATCATCCTAGTCACCCTAAAAATTATTGGAAAATAATTTTAATATAGTTGAGATAAAATGTTATTTGTAATACTATGTTATATACTTATATGTACATTTTCATATTCTTTAAATGCCCCTTCAAAAGCGACAGGAGACAATTTTTTATGGCATTTAGGTACTTTAAGTTGTTAGACCCCCCCCCCCTCAAAAAAAAAAAAATATATATAATTTTATTCAATTTCTACACATGAGCTTGTTGATCATACACGAACTTTAAAAAACCAATGAAATCATTCATAATTCACGTTATGCAACGATATATTATGACATCGTTCAGAGTTCAGCTTTAAATTTTAAAGCTTCCCATGACTCCTGAACAGATGAAACAATTCAATTTACATTCTTGGTCTTAATTTTAAAACTGTATTATTCATATTCAGAGAAAATTAGAACAATACTAAACAACTATAATAATTATCTAAATATCGAATAAAACATAATACACCCTTGTTAGTATAATATTATATTAATATATAATAACATTGTTACGCGTACAATATATCATTTTTTTGTATACATCATTACATACATTTGACTATGGTTAATTAGTTCCAAAAGCAACAAAATTGATGATACATCATTGTTAGGCAATTACTAGTTATGATGGTAAATTATTTAGAAGATGTAGAGACGGGTGGTCTTAAACAGTAAATATAAAGTGGAATTATCGTCGATAGCCTTAAATATTATAAATTTTACAATCCATTTAGTGATGAAATATATTTTTTACAATATTTATTATAATGGTGTATGGAAGGGTCGACGGACATTTTATTATTACTATTTATTAACATACAGAAATAAAACTTATGAGATTTAAATGAATATTAGTTTTTCTCAAGTATATCAGCTTTAGGTAGATCTTCAAATGTCTCTCCACTTGAATAAAATTAAAAATTATTTATTATTTCTTTGACAAATCGATTGGAGTCAACGAATTTATTACGGAGTTTACAACGCAAAATTGTACTACTTGTCTGAGATTATTTCCTTTTGTAAATAAAATACGGACGTCACATACAGCTTCTGCGTTCGACGTGTCAAACAATATTATCAGAGATTAACAATATTACGCCAAATAGCTACATATATCTGGTGACAGCGTATCCGTCCAGAACACATTATTACAGGCATTTTCGATATTATTTTCATGATTATAAAGGGATACGTAATTTAAGGATACCTCCTTTGTTTTATTTTTCTTACCATTCCGTCAGAACAATCACTTTTATAAAAACGCTATCTATTTAGAATATTATATGATTTCATATTCGTTTTCTATCACTTAGTTTTTACACGTTAATGCAATTGTATACATGGCGATAATAACAATAATAATAACACTTGCAGACCAGACCTGACCTAACCGTTACTTTTATTCGTCGTAGATGTCAAAATGCCGCCCAATATGGACATGGACCGGTTAATACAAATGGACCCCAAGGAGCTTGTGGATCTGGTCAAACATTACGCGAATGAAAACGAGGCGCTACGCAGAGAAAACGCCGAGCTATTCAACTCCAGGGACCTATTACAGAGAGACCACGAAATTGTTTGTAGGGAGAACGAACGACTGCTGAAGAAACTCGAAGACGTCAACTCGTAAATACTTTGAAAAAATAACCGATTTTGTGATTTTGTCTCTATTTTTCTTTCTTATTTTCGTCTCATAGCAATAAAATGTTGTACGTGTGTCTCTTGCTTGATTAATTCTTTGTTCTTACACTGTTATGTCTACACTGTTATGTTTTTTTGTCTTCGGTTTCTACAGCACAGTTTTATTGAACTTCTCTCTATGTATTTTAAACTCTTCGAAACTATATTAGTCCGTTGATAACATGATTAAAAAAAAAAACACACTCGGGTTTTCGATAAAAAATGAAAATTGTATTTCATTTCCATAGAAGAGAAATGAACATAATAATAACGTGGATGTATCTACTTGGTGCTTGTCAGTCGAACGAATAATGTGTTAAATAATTTAAAATAATAATAAACGCAAGCTACCATAAACCCTTCGTAGTTCGTAGCTACATTAATATGTATACATGACATGCACATATTAAAAATTAACGAAACGTCCAAGAAAATTATCCCTTGTGTAATTTAAAAACTAAATTAATATTTTAGTTTTAAATACGTCACTGCTACCATTTTATTTAATTATTCCTTAATCTCTTGGTAACACACTAACACCATACACCACATTAATTATCAACACATATACAGATCAAAATTAAAGAATTAAATGGATAACATTATGAAACCAACTAAATCAATCTATACAGCAACCCATGTAACTAGAACTACACATCAAAACAATAACTCGTAATCGTACAATGTTCTAAAATCAGTTATTTTAAAGATTCGAGTATAACTAGAAAAAATTGATTTGTAAAATTGATTTATACTCTTTGTGCGAATGCGAAAATGCATACCGTTACATTGTGTCAGGACAACGGGACTCAATGCTGAAAAAAGTTACGTATATGGTCACTCTATGTTACATATTTATGTTTTATTTTAAGTAATGTGTTATTATTATTATTATTATTATTGTTCTTATTAATAATAATAAGCACGAGCCTTTGCGATAGAGCTGAGTATCCATACATCATATATATGGATTAAATTAAACTAAATAAACAAATATAACAAAAAATTGCAGTTTCAACGACATCTATGGCATAAAAATGCAAAAATGATACTTTTATTGAGGTACTCCCCTTTTGTTCTAAAAATCATTATAGAAATTTACAAAAAAAAATAACTATCAGCATTGAAATTAAATTTGAATACAATTCATAAAAGTTCTTAATAACTACGAAAATAAAAATCTATAAGCATAGTAATGCTTTATTTCTATTCTAAACTTCAATCGGAAATGCTATTACAATGTGCATAAATATCACTATTCACAGCTTCGATGACATGCAGCACAATCCCATACTTATTAAAATGTTAGAACAAAGATATTTTCAGGGCATGTATAAGGTCTCCAATAATTCCAGCGCGTGGCCAATATGTTGACAAAATAGAAACTTCCTCAACAAACAGTTCTACGAACACACAAATTATACAAATGGTAAGTTGAATTAAATTGTAATATATTCAATTGATTTAAATATTATTTACGTTACGTCCACATTTCCATCGACATGTTTCAATATTTATATTATTTTGTATTTACATATAATGTACACAATACATATTTTAATATAAATTAAAATAATCGGACAAAATAACGTGAATACTAAATAATATACCTACTATAACTAAAAATATGTACGAACTACGAGAATAATGTAGTAATACTAATAAAATATAAGAATAATTTAAGTGTATAAATACTGAATTTCTACAAGTACGGTTTTTTTTTTAGGTAATGCTATTTCAGTATCAAAAATAACATGTGAAAACCCGATAAAGACATATCTTACTTTATACTTTGTTTATTGTATGAATAACATTTCATTGTAGTGCGACTTATAATTTATTCATATTTTTAAAATATCCATATGAATATTGTATGTTCAAAGGTTTCAGTCAAATTTTATTACCACAATCAAATCTCTAGGGATACGAGATATGCGTTTACAAACGTTTGATCCTCGAATGTCAAAATGTTATACAAGTTTACTTGCATCAGCGAGGGGAAAATGTAGGTCTTTTCAAAAATAATGTGTTGTATTGAATTTTATAAAAAATATTACGGAGATACAAGTTCTTATACTTTCATGGATAGTCTTTAGTCTGTTTTTAATTTCCCAACAAATATAAGACTACAGGTACGGATAAATAAACAAATATGTTTATAGTGTTATCTTACAGAATTGAATCCACTAGAAACACATCTAAGAAAATAACTTATCTAGTATAAATTTGTTATTTTAGGAACAGATTAAAATTATGTACAACTTTACTAATATAAGTATGTATATAACTCTATAAAATTATAGTTCTTAATTATCGTATTCCGCTCTAGTGTTGTCTGTTTGTTCAACTCATCACCAGGAAAATGTGGTACGGTGTCATGCCTATTACGGCATCAAATTTAAAAGAGATATAATAACTCATCGTAACAAAAATACGATTTTCCGTGGAAAACAAAAAGTTTCGAAAATATGGATCCATGGAAACTATATAGGTAATATAATTCTGGTATGAAGCGACAAAAAGTGGTCGACAAGGGACCGTTTGACAGTCATTGCGGGTTGGCCACACGATCGAGTTGGATTGTCCCGAGCATAATTTAACCAACCACAGTCAGTTGTACGTCCGCCTCGTGGGTGTCACTATAGTTTTATGGCAAATCTGAAAATGCCAGCACCAAAACCCCTGAGGTTATCCCAAAATAGCCATAGTATATCTAGCTTTATGGCGATGCTCGCGTAATTTAAATTCGCCATAGGCAACGGATAGCCTTATATTACCTATAGCTAAGCTGACTGAAGTAATTTTTCGGATAACTAACTAAATCTAGTACTCAAGTAGGTATTGTTAATATTTTGCAAATATTACATAACTCATGGGCGAACGTGGAGCCCATTTTCCAAAAAAACCAATAAATAGGTTAGGTTAGGTTGTCTCCGTGCACGACCTCGCTTACTTCGTTCGAAGACATGCGACATTGGTGAAAAACTGTTTACTATAATAATATTATTATATGAGTACTATTATAGATAAATATTATGGCTTTTAAATAAGTATTGCAGGAACGTGCGTAATCAAAATACTAACAATAATGAAAGAAAAAGCAGTAAAATTGGAAACAACAAATTACCCAACATAACAAAAATTAAATTAATAGTTCAATAACCATACAGTTTAATTTCTGAACATAAACTCAACGCGGTTGAATACAACGTTTTTAATTTTAATAACTCCAATATTGTGAATAAATTATAAATGTGAACTTCAGTCCTCAAAACATAATTATCAATTACATACACATTCAATGCAAACGCCGTAGAATCAACTTAAGTTTAATTAACTCCAAAAACTGCAATTTTGTTTTAACTATAACTATTAAAAACAAATTTTCTTTTCCTTAATTAAAAAGCGTTAACACAAATGACAACATTCTTCGTACGCAATTCTTATCTGTTTTTAATCACCACCAACTATTTTCGATTGTTAGATATTACTTTCATTAAGTTTTAAATACATAAATGTTACTTGGAATGATTGTAAAAAAAGATACCTACAGGTATCTACTGTGCAATATTTTGTTACAGAAACACTGAAGGGAAGTTTCAAATCAACATGTAACATTGCCTTTGTTGTTGCTTTTGAGTTACATCAACATCAACGGTACCGCTAATGTACACATTTTATAACGTCACATTTATGTTTCATTAACTCAATTGTAACGTGTTTTCAAACAATCCAATAACATCGTAACAACTACAATCTGATGTTATAAAAAACGTCCTAGTAGGTAACTAACACTATCTTACCAATACTTGATGTTACATAGATGTTATTTTCAGCATAAATGTATAATATATAAAATTATAAAATATAAAGAAAAAATATATACAAAAATAAACTCCCATAGATGGATGTATCGAACCCTGACGTTATTATTTGAAATCTACCTGCTAATTATAAGGGCCCAATAATCCTAGGCGTTACAATCTATCGGTTACCCTATTGCTTCACGATAGTGATCTAATTAGTGGTATTTAAAGATCAAAATTAATAAATAGTTATATACAGGGTGATCCAACAAGTATGCTCACCCCCTCCCCCTTTTTTCTTTAATAATGAAGTTTTACAAAATCTGATTTTCGGAATCCTTAAATATACTCAAAGACCATATTTTCATATTCTTGAGATTTTTTGTACCACTTAAGGAGTGTCCTGTGGCGATACAAACTTTTGTTTTTTTCAAATGGGAACCCTACTTTTTTACTGTAAATTATTTAGCGAATAATTTTTTTGAGAATTTTGATGTATTGAAATCAAAATTCCAACGAATAATTTTCTAGTTATTACACATTTTGTGCTAAGGATAATATAGTTTATAATAGGTAAAAATGATATGCTTACACAGTATACGTTGTTATCTATAGTCTATACACATAATATAAAATAATACGTCATTTTATATTTATTTAGTCAAACACTTAGGTAAATAACAAGTAAAATCCTTCTTGATTTGTTTAGTTATTTTTCTTATTCCACGTATAGAACTGTATTAGCATATCCCTATTATGAACTATTTTCCTTAGTACGAAATTGTCCAATAACTAGGAAATTTAGATTCAAATTTGTGGTTCAAATTTTGATTTCGATACATAAAAATTCACATAAAAATTATCCGTTAAATAATTTAAAGAAAAAAAGTGGGGTTCTCATTTGAAAAACAAAGGTTCATATCGCCACAAGACACTCCTTAAGTGGCACAAAAATCTCAAGCATATGAAAATATGGTCTTTGAGTATATTTAAAGATTCCAAAAATCAGATTTTGAAAAACTTCATTATTAAAGAAAAAAGGGGGTGGGCATATTTCACATTTGTTGGATCACTCTGTATATCATAATTATTGCTTATTACTCATAGTCTAAGTCTAAACAATACTATATTCATATTCAAGGGCGTGATAACAAAGGGGGTCACAGGGCTTGATGCCTTGATCTATGGAAGTCTTAAAATCAATTCCAAGAGAGAGCGAAAAAATGTTGCTCTTGAATACGGTACCGTGTTGGTAAACAAAAACTGTAAACCTATATATAATATGTTTGATGTAATTTCAACTCATACTAGCTAAGAAGACTGCAGATATACCTATCGTATAAATGCAGTAAAAAACAGTGCAATTTGAAATTTAATGAATCAATCTTTTTGTTACTCCAAGGCAAACATTATGCATATAGTCAAGGCATACTATACTTCAATTATATTAATTGGTAATTTCAGTTAATGGACTACCTATTCCCTTTTGATACTCATCATCAAATTATTTGCAATAAGATTCACTGGTTTTCAATTTTGAATCTATTCCAAGAAAAGATATTTGATTTTGTAAATATTTACCTTTTTTGCCTAACCTTTTTAATTACCAATCTTTAGTACATTAAATAATATTCCATATACACACAAATGGATACAAAATGTCTTCAATTGATTGAAGCTTTTGGTAACACAATGGGAAATACCAATAGGAAAACATTACCTGATATCCAATTCCTTAACATTTAAAATAGAAACTAAAATTGGTCATATCTGACTTTTGAAACTTTTTACAATAGGTGGGTAAACCATCAATATAAATTCCAATCTTTAAATTTTTGTGAGCTATATCCATCAGATATCTATTTGGCTAAACCTATCTAACTCTAAAACTTTTAGTAACGTATTGTCTGCTAAATTTTAAAAATAGTTCTCTCAAATTCATACATGTAATTATATAAAGCGATAAAAGCTACCTTAGAAATTGTGTTGTAACTTATTATTACATACAATTATATTCATCAGAAGCTATATGGCTTACTTAAAAGTAAAGACTAAATTTACATACTTATTGTTTTTTTCCAATGACTTACCTACTTTCTCAAGTTTACTTAGCAGGTACTTAAATAGTTACAAGTTTACAATACCCATAAATTCTGATACAGTTAAATCAATTTTGTTAATTAATTAATTAATTGTCTTAAACAAATATTTTTGTGGCTTAATAAATGATCAGAGTTATCACTTATCAAACTAAGTTCTACAATGAACCTAAATTGATTGCAATTAAATAAAACATTAAGTATCCTGGAGCCTAAAACATAAAATTAACAAAAAATAATAAACAAAATTGAGTTGAATTAATTTTAGAAAATAAAACGTTAAATTCTGAAACAGATTTTAAAGTTAAAATGTATTCACTTTTTATAGATAAAACAAATATTGAACTCAATAATAAATATTCTGATAATGAAAATCTGTTAATGGAAATTAGTGCATTTGGTCCACAAAATTTTAAATTTTTAAATGCAAGACTCATTAGACCATTTTTACCTAGCTATCTACTAGCTACATAAAATATATCATTATTATTATAATATATTGTAGAATCATTTATGTATGAAAGTATACATTGTTTATTGTTCGTAAATATTTTTTAATTATGCATTACCTACCTATGTGGCCACGTATAGGGACAGTGAAAAATATATTAATAAAATACACATTACACAACCATTCAAATTGGACTTTATGTAAGATTTAAAATTAGTATTTATTATTTTTTTATTTAATTGGTTTGGTATTTTAAATTGTATGATGTCTATTGTAGTTAGGAAATTGTTTGTTATTTTTAAATAGAAGTATAGGTCACAGCCTTAATTTATAGGTAGGAATAGGTCCAGCTTTTCAGTACCTAAGAAACAAAGATGGAGGTGATTATTGAGGTTTTAATGGTCAGTATACGACCTGCCTTCGATCTGAACAATAAACATAAATAAAATAAAAAACATTGACATTTAAAGTTATGATAATATCTATACAAGTAAATATAAAGAATAAGCTATGAACAATAGATACAATCAAATAACCTTTTAATAAACAAAAACAAAAAATAAATAAAACATATCCGTGTGGCCACAAAACAATATTGACACAAAAATAATATAATAAGTAAGGACATAAGTTTATTACTTTTTAGATATCCATTACTGTACATTAAACATATATGTACATTTGCATAAATAAAATTAAAAATACCTTAATTTAATACAATATAATATAATTTTTTTAATTAAAAAAGTACAAAAACAATCTATACATTAATGTTCTACAGTAGGTATTATTTTATAATAGTTTAAAATAATGGGAAATTACAAAATGGGACCCGACAATATAATATAATCATACTTTGTATACCTACTAATAAAGAATAGATTTTGCCATTTAGGTAGTGACTGATAAAGAAAAAGTTTTCTAAAAAATCAATCATATAAATTTAAAATACATATAAAATTGAGTTTAGATTTTTTCAATGTTATTTGAATCGTCAGTAAAAATATTAAGACAATTTAAAACACTTAGGTAAATGATGATAGTACTAAAAACCCGAGGAAGTGCCTCTACTGCATAGCAGAGTCAGGAGTTAAAGTGAGGGAAACGCAGGAGGACTCAGTTAGAGCCCCCTTTAACAAATTAGGATTTTGTACATTAGACATTATACATGAAATTATATATGGAGACACTAGTCTCCTTTGGAATTTTTTCCCACTTCAAACCTTAAGTAGAGTAGGTTTCGAGTGTACCACGTCAGTAAGTAGGTCTTTTAATTCAATGATAAATTATTGCATTCGAAAATGCCAATACTTTAATGAGTCTATGATTAGCACAAAATGAGCCTAAATATTTGGTGAAAATGGCAAGTCCATAGGCGTATTGTAGAATAGAAAATTGAATACAAGGTTACCCATAAGTTGTTTATATACAATTTAAAAAATATGGAAAATATACCGTCACAAGAGTTTTTATGAGTATTTCAAGTTACAATTTTGACGAACTTCATATAAATCACAAAAATTTGAGTATTATTGTGTGTTAAAATTCATGAAAATGTTTCTTTTATATCTAAGATGTAAAAATGTAATACAAAATTCCTCATGAGTTTTTCTACCAATAGCAAAAAAAAAAAGTTTACTAGAAAATCACATTCATTTTTTATGAGCGTTTGAAATTTTTAGACATTGGATATTCACACTTAAACTATCTATTTCTCTTCTATCAACTTTTGATATTTTGTTGTAATTTGTAAACGAATAACATTTCCCTCAAATACTTGTATTAGTATTTTCTGCACAGTACGTACAAGTACAGTACTACCAGTAAGGAAATATTTCCAAAATATTTTGTCACATTTTGAACTATATAAACATTTTCATTTTTCAATTTTTTCAGTTTATTTCTATTTATAGATGTATTACAAGGTTTCTCGTAACTAGTTATTATAGCAATTTAAAAATTAAAAAAGATACATGGGCGCAATTTTTATTAAATGATTGTGATTAACATAAATCCTTAAAAAGGTAGGGAGCCCCCAACAAATTACCACATTGAAAATTCTTAGTGGAGCTTCCTCCCCTCTCCCCAACATATTTGATCAACTTACGTCTATTTTCAGGTCCCTACTTGATTATTAATTTTGGAATTATGCAACAAAAAAAACAAAATTGATGTTTTTAAAATGATGCCTTAATCTCTTTTTGTGTAAAAATTCCCATTTGCTCTAATTTGTTATTAGGTTTTTCAGTTAATTTATAAGAGTACTGGTCATCTTTTGTTGACCTTTCTCCTCACCACCTCCCAAAGTACAAACAACATCCAATTTTCTAACAGAAACCACCCTTTAAGTTAGGTTTATTAAAAAATAAATGAAATAACACTCATCAACAACCAACGTATACATCTGTCAAAATCTTGAATAATTTCTGAATGAATAAGAATATTAGGTTTTGGCATTCACCTCAGCTCAGAATGTTGGTGTATATTGCACATAACTTTCTTTTTTATATTAATTTAAAAGCAATGATTTATTATTATATTACAAAAAATGATTTTATGGAGCACCCATATTCGTTATTTTCTTGATAAATTCTATAAAAAAAAAAAAATGTATAGAAAAAGATAAAAATGAACATTAAACAAAAAAAACGCAAGATATTTAAATCAATAGAGGTCATGTTCTATCTAAAATATATCTATTATTGTAGATTGAAATATCTGTAACAGGTAGGACAGGTAGGTATATAATATTATTTAGTATACTAGGAAAACAATTTTTTTTTATCTGTCTCTTTGGTAATCTCTATAAATATATAAAAATCTAGATTATTTATTTATAAATCTAATATACAAAATATTCAGGTTTTTTATTATTATTACCATAATTGTACTCAGATTGTTTTCATATTGGTGCAATCTGAATGGTTATTTCTATAAGTTCTAAAATATTAAATAATCCAACTAAATCATGGTAACTGAAAAATTATTCTGAAATAGCTTGATACAGCGGGACTTGAGAGTATATGACCTATGTATAATATATGGCTCTATAATTATATTTTTACAGCCTATACCCCAATAGAACATACTAAAAAAATACAAAACATAATAGTTGATTAAAATACTTTGAATGTACACTTTATAAACGTATAGTAATAACAGTAACCTTGTATATTATTATAATGTAAAATGATTATCCTTAAAGATAAAAATTAATTTTAAATTAATCTTAAAAAAATAATTTATATAGGTAGTCATAAAAAACTAAAAATTCGGTTTAATTAAAACATTAAACCACAAGCTATGAATTCTACATTTCAAAATGTTAAACAAACTGTAATATTTAACTGCTTTATTCGGTGATCTTGCAAAAAATAATAAAACTTGACCATAAAATACAGTAATAATTTGGAGAAAAAAATATACATAATTTATCTTATTTCTAAAAAAATGTGGATTTAACAAAAATAATTTTAATTTCAATATTATATTAACAATGTATTTAATTTTAAACAAGTGTTGTTGGTATTTAGAAGAGATATATTTTTTAACTTTTACAATATTCTTTACAAATTTATAAAAAACTAACGACAACCATAAAACAGTGGTGAAAGCACTTCATCAAAAACGTTTTAACCAAGCTTTGCTTTGAATCGTTTTGCAAATACAATGGTGTACTTTAGGTATAGTTTTCAAATTTAAAATAAATAATATACCACTTTATTATACACTCCTCTTCCGTGAAAAATGTAGCAAAACGAGTGCTCAAGGCCTGTCATCTGTATTCTGTATCCAATCTAGTTTTTCAGTATTTAACATTTTAAAATTAAATTTTCATTCACATAATTTCTTTTTTTTAAGTAAAAATGTCACGTTTCCTTAAGAGTTAAGAACTGTACTTCTTTAAAAACTGATGAATGACAATAAACTTATAATACTTACATAGTTATGTGAGTCTTATATTTATATTTCATATAAATGACACTAACAAAGCTCATATTGAATAACTCATGAATGATAGAGCTTATCCTTAATGGATCGTTGAGCTGTAGAAGAAAAAAACAGATACGAATAAAGAAATTATATATACCTCTAGTACATAAACGTGTAAATTATCCCACATAATTTCATAAAACTGCTATTGTTATGATTTCATACATAATATAGAACAAATTTTGTCAAACATATATTGTTATTAATTTAAATTTTAAATTAAATATAAATATTATGTTTCAGGAAAATAATAAATTGGGAAGAGAAATAATAGATTTACCTATGACCTATCAAAGAGAAATAGACAAAAAAGGGATCGGAAATACGTATGATTTTAAAGTGTTCGTTATTTTAAAAATAACATAACCTACGTTTATTATTTTTTAGTAAAAGTAATTTCGTGGGCTCTTTCAAGAACCGAAGAAAAACATCATCTGATAGTTGTAAAGCACCGTCAAAACCAACTTCAACTAGAAGGTGAAAAAAAAATTAATTATTACATAAAAATCCATGTGATCGTAGCGAAAATATTTATTCGTCTACTTGATCATGATGTATGATAGTTTCACATTTATACGCGTAATGACGAACATAAAAAAGTCTTATATCATATTATTCAAAGTAAAGTAGCTAAATAATTGTCTGGACTGTTTCATATAAAATTAACATATCAACTGGAATCCCCACAGGAATTCCAGTAAATAAGTTTTCATTGAAAACTTCAAAATTTACCCGTCTCATTTAATTAGTCTTGCAAAACTTTCTAAAACTAAAGTAGACAAGTTTTCAATAAAACCAACTAACGGCTTCTAAGGTTGCAAGCATAGTAGAACTCGTATGTGATGCCATTGTTTAAAATGCTAGTTTTATAAATTATAACTAGGCTCAAAGAACAATTGTTGCAAAAATTGTGTTTGGGGGTTAGGTTAATACACATTAATAATGTTTATAGCGTCAAAAGTCCATATAGTTTATTGATAACCGATACTTAACATCGCTTGTTAACGAGGTTTGACAAGTAAATAGGATATATATGTACGGTTGGTGTAACTATTAATGTAACATCGTCGGTTGTAAGCAATTTATAGGTCATTTCATTTTGGCACAATATTCATAAGTACTTACACCGTGTGTATACAATTATAATAGTTGATTATATATTTCAATAAATTGGGACGAAACGCAATATTAGAATAATGTACTGACATATTTTTAAAGGAGAAACAATGATAGGAAATCCACCAGCTACGATTTACTTGAATAAGGTTCATATCGAACACGCAATAAAGTAAGTTACAATTTAACGAAAAGTATTTTCAGATAATTTGTGTGCATAAAATATGTACGGAAGTCTATATGTCTACTAGCTACCTGCATTTCCATACACATACAACCGACCTAGCGTTTTCGAAATATATTATGTACTTAAGTAAATTGGCATTGGACTAAAATTATAGGGTTAAAAGAACTATATTAAATTGGCAATAAAACCGTATATAAATAAATAGCAACACTTCAAATGACCGACCATTAATTATTTATACTTATCTACAGCCAAATTGAACGACAAACACAGATGGTTATAAATTAAAAATATTTTAATTTGATTTTGGCCCTTTTGTACCTACGTGAATACGTGATAGTGTAATATCGAGTACATAGTTTACAAATTGCTTTACCAATACTAAATAATTACCAATGCATTACACGTATACAATAACCACAAACTGATACACGCACAACGAAAAACACATATTAAATCTTATTATTTTAGTAAATCTATGAATGTTATTGTCATACTGATAACGAATACTGTTTTACAAAATAAATTTTTTTTGGGTCTAGGCCAAAATAGCGAAACAATTTACCGCGAATGTAAAAATCGCAAATTGATAATAGCGTAAATAAAAACAGCGAATTTTAAAATAAGCGATCATGCATAATAACGAAACTTAAAATTAGAGCAGTATAATGCTGGAGAACCACCAAAGAAAAAAAAAGTACAAGGACTGTAATAAAAGAATTCATGCATTAGTTACAAATTATATATTATTATTACTACTATAAATACTTATTATTAGAATTTAACGATATTATAATTTTTAATCGAAATAAATTTTATTCAAATTTTTATCAGACAGATGTTTCTTTCTTCGCTAATATGTATTTTCGCTCTTTTTTACAATTCGCTATTTTTATTTACGCTATTATCAATTCGCGATTTTTACATTCGCGGTAATTGTTTCGCTATTTTGGCCGGATACCAGTTTTTTTAATTACCTAACCTTTAAAATTATTCCAACAATCAAAAGCCCTTTAAGATATGCATTATTTTCATTATATTTATTTGACTCATATTTTATTATAATTTATAATCAATAATCATCACTATTAAAAATACATTTTAGATTCTGAGCAGAGCGATGAATGTATTGATTTTACAATGATTATATTTATTTATTTATTTACATTTTTTTTTTGTGTCTGTCATCACGGTTTCGAGCAGTAAAAGTGCTTCGATTTTCTTAAATAGCAGCTTTTCTGGTAGGAAAGTGAATCTAGTTGGTGCATTCGGGAGATCAAAATTAAAAAACTCCCAATAGTTTTCAAAAGCAACAGGAAAAATGGGAATTTTTACGTAAAACCATTGTTCGAAAAAATCGATTTTGGTTTTTAGTGTAACTCTAACAAAAATAACCGTAGATACATGAAATTTTCAATGAATATTTGTGTAAGCATTTTCTGTACACCATACAATTTCCAAAATATTTTGATTTGTGTTAAACTATTTATAGGCATATTACATATTCAGTTATTATTTGTTTTTTTTAACTCAAGTCGATAAAAAAGTTTTCGTTCTTTCAAAAGACTTGAAAATGTAAAACAAGGTTCCTTGTAAGTTGTTATTAATGAAAATTCAGAAAAAAGTTGAGCGTAAATCCACAATAATTTTTTATGAACGTTTAAACTTAGAATTTTGATGAAAATCGTAAAATCACGAAAATTAGCAAATTATATTTAGTTAGAAATTCATAAAAATGTTTCTATTCATATCTAAGTTTTAAAAATTTAATACAAAATTCCTTCTAAGTTTTTCTACTTTTATCAAAACAAAAAAATGTCTGCCAGAAAGTCAAATTTAATTTTTATGAACGTTTATAGTTGAAATGTTTACAACATTGGATATTCACTCGATTTCTTTTGTATCGATTTTCTTATTTTGTTGTAACTACTCTAGACATTTGAAATATACACCAAATGTTAATTTCATCAATTCATATACTTGATCGAATTTTCAAAATATTTTGACTCGTTTTAAGTTGTAAACGGACACTTTCAATTTTTTTTTTTTCTATGAATATCAATAAAATTTTATTTGGAGGGTCAAAAAGCATGAAAATTTAATACAAGACTCTTGATCACTTGTAACAATAGAAGTTAAAAAATATTAAAAATATATAGGCACAAATTTTTTTATAAGCATTTAAAGTTCAAATTTCGATAATATATATCAAATTGAAAATGATTTTGTAGTTAAAAATGTATAAAATTTTCAATTTTTATAGCTAAGGATTCAACATTTAAAACAAGGTTCCACTTAAACAGTTTTTTCCCTAACTAAAGAATCTAAAAATATATGAATAAAGTTATTTTTTTACAGATATTTTAAGTTCAAATTTGGATAAGATTGCATATTTACACAAATAATGAAATTACAACAAAATAATCATTTTGTTGTAATTCGGTTCCATAACAGCCCAATTTTACATAATTATATTTAATATTTTTCCAGCTTCACTGATAATTTAAGAATAATATGAATTGAACTACCGGCTACTATATTTATAATAAGTAAAGACAATATAAAATATCCTAGACTGACATAAAGTCTCCGCTCAGAATCGGTTTTCGTATACAAATATATGATATCATTGAATTCAAATTTAATACCATCCATTACAGCGTCCTCCTAGACACCTAATGTACAGCAGAGCGACATTCACTTACCCGGTTTTTTCAAAGTATTATTACTAAATATTGTATCGAATGGCCATGTTGTGAATACAATTTTATATAATTTGATATTTTATTTTTTTAGGAAAATCAAAGTAACCCTAAAATGTTAAAAAAATGAATGCAAATTTATAAATATGGCCATCAGTATTAAGCCATTGGGTAATACTGTAATAGACGAAACTTATTTTTTTTTTGTTACAAAATTACAAATATTTTTATACATACATTTGAAGCTGGCGACAAGAATTTATCTGAACCCTGACATAATTAATTTCAATAGTCCTATATTCAACACCAGACTTAACCCCTACATGACCATCCTACTGTGCTTCAAAACGTATACACACCTGTCTATATGTCTATAATAATCCGATTTACCGGTTAAACTAAGCAATAATTCAATTTTTTTATTTCAGGTTTGCGCTTTTATAAGAATTTAAATCTGCACTTATTTTCAATGATATAGTAACATAAACCAAACTATAATCCGTAGAACAAATACGTACTAGGGTACTCTACACACAATGTATATTGTATAATTTGTATAGTTGCATACGATGTATGTAATGTATATTTTCACATGACTGTACAAAAATACAAATTAAAGTAAAAAGTTCGAATGTTCGCCAAAACGAGTTAAGCCCAATTTATAAATTACCGGTATGTTCAAATCGAGCTGGGATATAAATTAACACAATAAAAACACTATCGTGAAGTCGGATACAAATGTAAATGAAAAAACAATTGATAATTTACTGGATTAAATTATTACTATTATTTCGTGACAAATAAACACGAACAAAACAATTCCATCATTTTGATCCGTTAAAATATTGCCAGCAATATTATACTATCTATTAAACCGATTGACAGTGATAACTGATAAGGATTAAATTATTTTTAATTACTTAGCTGATAGTCAGCCGTCAGAGTTAGATTAATTTTTATTTTGCTAAATGCATTAATTTTAACGTAATATTATGTATTTCATATTTCCGTAGTCATTTTGATTGAAACTCGTCCACTCTACTCTGCACCATTTCCTGTCCTAATGGATAGTCGAGGAGTGGCCCCGTATAAGCCATTTAACCTCACTTCGCATTACAAAACAATAGTGGTTTTTAAGTATATCCTCATACGAGTCATACGTGAATTGCGATCCATAATGCGATTGCCCAATGGTGTATAATGTCCATCATATAATTGTTTACAAAATAAAGAATAAAAACAATAACAATCACAATCAGAAAAAAATTACTGTCATGATTTGCAAAACATACTGAGTGAAGGGGGATCTATAGAGTTATATAACTTCAAATCGCGATTCCGATCTTTACAGCTTAAGTGACGAAAATCAGAGGAACGATCATCAGCACCATTGGCTATATTATATCTAATGCATGATAAAATAACGTTAGTAAAGTCTATTTTATCATTAACATAAAGCTTGTAATGTTTTTGTTTGTGCGTATTATCAAAGACCACCGCCAACGGTTGACCGCGTACAGTCTTCGACTATGGTTGCCGGGTCTTACAACATATTCGACGACGGGCTCAACTCGGCTGCCTCGACGCTCGCGTCCATCGTCAGTCGGCAAGCGTTTGACATACCGCAGGCGGCCAGAGACAGCGGTGGAGGTGACGACATCGGCAGTGCGGTTGACCGACGGAGCGCCGGCGGCCGATTTTCTCTGCCTGACATCGCAGGTCCCGGCGACGGCATCGAAAGTGAAGTGCGAGCGAGGCGGGACAGCGTCGGAAGTGGCGTGCGGACGCGGCGGGACACCCATCCTAGAGGCCGCGACCCGTTCGGAAGTCCGGTGACACCACAGACGTACAACGGATTCAGGTACAATGCTGGTAATACTCGGGCTGCCGCCGCCGCCATCAAAACGGCCGCCGCGTCCGGTTGAGAGAAAGGCGCCGCAGGAATTGCGTGGACTTCAACGGGGGTCCCATCATTCCATCGTAAATAATTGATCGAATATAATTGATCGTAATAAAAATTTTCCGAAACAATATTTATCTCAACTTAAAACCATGTATAAGGATATTCAGGTATTAAGGCATTAAAGTACAAAGACCAAAGCACAAATGTACCTACAACTCTATATTCCTCTTATTTGATGAGTGAAGTGAAGTTTGCCGAAGGTCAACCGCCCTCTCCATATCCATTCCTCGTAAGCACTCATATTAAATTAGGCTTTGAGCTTGAAAAAATATCAAAGTTATTTTTATTGGTTAGACCTTATAGCATCTATTTAAGTAGGTATATTTTACCTATTTTTGTTATACCAAGTATTATATAAAGAGTAAAATTGTATTTTTTATCGATTAATTTTCTAACTTCGCAAAGTAAAAAAAAATGTTAGAAATATTACTTGTAAGTTGTAACATTAAGTACGTTTTTCTATATTGTCTCGACTTAACGAGTTATAATAAATCGTGAGCTTGTGCAACCCTAAAAATCGTATTCATACCTACCATATTATACGAGTACATTGGTATCAATGTTAAGTAGGTATATTATTATCTGTTCACCGTCCACTTTGTACTGAGCTCAGTTACGATTTCATTCTAACAATTCTATACCGATATGATCACTTTTTAGAATTAGTTAGAAATGCTCCAATATTTGTGACAAATTACGATAGTATGTTTGTAGTGTGAACTGTGTAGGCCATACGGGTTACGCATAGAATGACAAGTATATCCTTGGCTCGGTTTTTGTTTGTCAAAACTTCAAGTGCATTTCCAGCATTTTTACCTCGTTTGTCAAATTTATATTATTACATTTCGTACTTACAATAACATTAGTCAAACCCATATGGTAATAATACGATTATAAAAATATAATCAAAAAATAATGTTCAAAACGTATAACAAAAAGGAAAAAATGTATAGGTATACCAACATTTTTTTTAAATTTACTTTCGTATAATTTGCCGCTACATTGGCCGATTGTTATCATAGAATATTCTATCGATTTATCCAAAAATCTAAAACCAATATATTAATATAATATGTAGTACTAATTTTACTTGTATAGGATAATAGGACGCTTGAATTTTCTACTTTGCTCTTATTCCATGCTTTATTGTATACTATAATAACAGCATGTATTATGATAGTTCCCTATCAAGTCGCATGTTATACTTTAATAAATAATAATAATACAACTTATACAACTACCTGATTCCTAACTCCTGACACCTGTATTACCTATTATTTAATATGTAACATTGTATCCGAATTTTTTTCAATCTTAATCAAAAGTAATATTATCTTGATTTTTAATTATAAGTAATTTCATCCAGATGCTCTCGAGAGCTATGCACCTCCCCTGGGCCCTGACCAAACCTTATATTTAATATTAAATGTATATATTTTTTAACACGTCGCGTTTTCTATTGTTTACTGTTAATTATTATACTACATAGGTGCCTACTAAAAGCATTCATATTTTAGAATAACCCGCATCTTCCTCTCTTTACATTCCTATATAAAATAGTATGTATTAATATACTTTACATACCTAAGTATAGTATATATCTCATCAAATTATTATGTACAATGTTATTTATAATACAAATCGTTCTTCTGTAAACAAAACTTTTTTGTACAGTTGTTGTTTTATTATTATATTATTTTTTAACTGGTGTACTACAGCGTTAAGTGTTTTTTCAACGTCACTTCTGGTGGTGGAATCAGGTGTATAACCATGGGTAAAATTTTAAAAGGTAATTTTAATTATTTTACAATTGAAATATGTTAAAAAAAAATTATCATAACGCCTATAAATTATGAAATACCGGTATTATTATTCTCTACATCAGTGATGCAGATAGTAGGTTGAAAATTTAACATATCCTAAATTCCTAACTTACCAAATTCCCTATCCATATATAATTATTATACATGACCTTAATTATTAGGTATTGAAATGAATAAAAAAAATATTTGATGAACTACCGAAAAATGGACTCAATACTGGAAAGACACCGAAACCAAAAAATAACATAATATAAACTATAAAGTAGAGTCGAAAGTGTGCATTAAATGTAAATAGGTACTCAAACCAAATGTGAAGTTAAACGGTAGTAAGAATACAGAAAAAAATTACTTATTTGGTTTGGTTTTACGTCAAAATTGAAATAAAATTAATCAATGAAACGACCAACAGGCAACAATTATAAAACAATTAATAGTAAAACCCAAAATGTCAAATAATAATAAAACTCACACCTACTCCAAAGTTATCATACTATATCTGACAATAGTATATGGAGTGCCGTTGTATATTTTACATATAATAACTTCAAACATTGGGGAAGTTGAATATCATCGTTATTCGTCGGTATTATAGCTTTCTGAATTTTCCTAAACTAATCTAATATTATAATAGATCCTTAGAGTTCGTTGGAAAAAATCTAAACCAACTACTGAACGGTTTAAACTATTATTAAATAACATTGTTCGTGTGGACGCGGCTATCGACTCATATTATATATACGAGTATTAGCGAATAGCAATTTTAACATTTTAAAGTTTAAGCTCATTATAACTGTAAAACTCAATAGATAATCTGATAATATAATAAATTTTGAAATTTATTGTCGTCGTTTACAAGCCTTATCAGTTGTCCTTATATGTATATAAAAATACAATTTTCGAAAAAAGTATAAGATTTATATATTTTATTATGATAAATATATTAAATATTCCCAGAGAATTTGGGAACAAAAAGAAGAACGCATCTTGCACTTAGAAACTAAACTCATATATTATATGAGTTACTACGCGTCGTTGGCGAGTATATTTACAAAACTTGGGACCTTCGAAAAATAATTTTAAAGAATAAACCGTTTGTAAAACTGGGTCATGTATTCTTGCAAAGCACTTGTAGATAGGTAATAGAAACTAAGAACGTATACTATCAATTAAATACCTATATTAGTACCTAATATATTAAAAAGAGGCAATTTTTTTTAAATACTTATATATGTGCTTATTATAATTGCTAATTATTCTATTCCTCAAATCAGATTTGCATAGAATTCAGTTGGATTAAAACATAAAACTTCATTTTTTATAGAGACTTTGCATTTTAAGCATTTGCGAATGAGCAAAAAAATAAACAAATATTATGGATAACCATGAAAGCATGCATTATAACATAATTCAAAATAACAGATACGACCACACAAACACCACTAAAAAATAAGTACTTCTTAAATACATAATTTAGATAATAGTTCCTTTAATTTGATTGTTAACATAACATGCATGATGATTGCACATAAAATGCTTACTTATACAGTTCTATCTTTTTTTTTTTAAACATATAGCATATAAGTAGGTAGTACAGATATGAGATAAGTACATATAGGCTATAGTACATTTTTATTTTCGAAACGAATTTACTCTCATTATGAATAATTCATCAATATTACAAAAAATAATTCCTGGCTTTTTAAACTTTAATTGAAGATAATAAGCGTTTGTATAGTATACAACTGGTAACTAATATCTACAAATTATATAATATTATAATATTAATTTATTTTAATTTTAGTAATAACACAATTTTTAAATGTTTATCACTCTGCGTGGATAAATAAAATATTTTTAATAAGTTTATGTTTAACCATCAATTACATTTAAATATTTAATCCACTTACATATTTTAGAAGCTAGTTTATTTTCAATTTCTTCATTGGCTGAGGAATTTTATTCTCTAGCATACTAAAAATTGTAGAGTCAGACACTTAGATAAGGCTCAATAACGACCCAATTCAATTTACATTTTGGTCACGTATTCATGTAATTGATCGTTTACGTTTACTAATGGACATCATCAAATATGCGCGGAATCCTAATCTACGAACAAGTGTGTACAATAATATGTCGTATACAATCCCTCGAAACTCGAAAGGTTGAAATAATGGGAACTAAAAAGCATTGACACTAATTATGCATTTCCTCATGGATATTAGACATGTTAAGTACCTAGGTTTACACATTTAAATATTTAAAAATCGATTACTATTGTATTGTATGCCTTATGGTAACACCAATACTTTACATATAATTTGTATTAATCAAACATATTTTATGATTTAAAGAATAAATAACACACTCACACTCAATGCTGTCAGAGATAATATGAAAAGAGCATTTGGTCATTTTTCCTATTAGTTTGTATAAAATATACTCATCAGTTAACGATTATATGGTCGAATGCTATATCAAAAACCAACAAACATAAACAAAATATATTAGTAAGGGTCACAAAGATGACGAGTATAATAACTTTAGCGTTAATCGTTATGGATTTCGTTAATTCCTTTGCGTGTCGTAAGCTGCCGGCCTTCAAACTACAAAGTAAGTTCGATGTATCGTACCTACCTAGATTATAGCTTTAAATACCTAACAAACCAGTGGTGTGCCCAGGATTTTGAAATGGTGAGTCAAAGAAAGCCCCAGGCTAATTTTTTTTTCGTCAGGCCACTTTTTCTTTAAAATATTAAATATATAGATATTGTTTATGTGTAAGTCTTTTGTATGGGGTTAAACTCTTGAAGAGTATATTTTAATGAATTCAAATTATTCATTAACTACTTGTTTGTCTTTTGGTATAGATCTAAAAATATTTAGTATAGACTATAGGTACCTACATTAATTAACCAATGCAATTTATTCCAAATAAAATTAATATATTATATTTTTTTATTAACGTATTATAATAAATGATAAAACAATATTTCATATGGTATACATTAATTTTTTTAATGAATTATGCTATTCTAGTTTATACCTTCTACTTTTTAGCTTAGAAAATCTATTTACTGCTTCATCTAAATTTATTTTGTTAGCTTCTTCTTTTTCTACAGCTTTGGCCCATGACCATTAGATCACTTAATCGTTCATCATTCACATACAAAGTACCATACCTATCGTATCAGTAAACAGAACCGTGGTAGGCAACTAGATAATCCCAGAGTGCTAGGTACATTTATTAATTTTAGTGACCACCATTATTATCATTATGACGATACCGCGTCTTATCACCACTCATGGGCCACAGAATAGATTTAATCTATTCTGTGATGATACTATTATTCACTTTTTATGATATTATGATTATTCTGGTTCTTTTATCAATTTAATTTCAACTGATATAAATTCGATAAAAAAACGATTGAACCACGTCGGCCCATTGTAAATAGTAATCCAGCCATCCAGGCCAACAGGCAAAAATAGGGGAGCCAAAGTATACCCTGCGTCCCCCCAAATGGCGCCCCTAGTTTACCCCTATCGTCTCCACTCATGGCATGCCGCTGTAACAAACTATCATGCAATTAGACATTAAACAATATTAGATACTTGATAGTATGTGCACATTTTTTTAAAATTGTATTTCTGTAACTAATGACAGATTGGCACCCCTATATTATTCTAGCCTATAGGTATTGATTTTCGTGAACCAAAACGAAATTCATGTGTGAACCACCCTATAGCGACCTATGGGGATTGAAAACATACAAGCTTAAAATACTATCAGTCTCAAGGAATCTATTGATATAACTTTTATTGATCCTGGTTTAGTAGTTTCTGAGATTAAACGTTAGTAAAAAATTAATTTCACATTTGTATACATATTTAGATACTTGGGTTAAGGGGTGGTGAAACCGTTTTACTCAGTAAAATAGTATCCCCCTTCCCCACCCCCAAAAAAATTCTATCAAACCTCCGCCTATGCTAAACCTCCACCCTGTCCGTTTTCTTTTGTCATTTTCATTTCTCCATATATTTTGTAATATTATGTGTATATATATATTTTTTTTTATTGTGATGTTCAGAAACAAAATGTTGTTGACATGTGTGTTTCCATGTGGTCAATTCGTGGCATTTCTTTTATCCACAAGCTACGTACAAATATTTTCGTATTGTAAATTCTAAAATAAATACATGTACGTGATAGCAAAACAAAAAAAATATAAACCCCTTTTTTCAATTGTGGTTTTTATTTTCATATCATTTTAAATTATTTTAAAACAAAAGAATATCTAACGCAGGAATATAAAATAAAGTAATTTAAAATTGGCTAATATTTGGTAAATGTTTCATCATTTAAAAACCTTATAATTGTGGGTATATGACATATGTCAATTGCGCCAGAAATCACAGGTAATTAAAAAAAAATGATGGGATTCAAAAAGGTTATACATCAACTGCGCCGGACGATATTTAGGTCCAAAAAAGATTATACATTAATTGCGCCGGCAATACTGAAGTTGAAAAATAAGCTGATTACACACTAGGCGGTTTGAACGTACTCGTCTACGTTCATATTACACACGGACGATTTAAAATCGCGATGTTTTAAACTGTACATACTATACGTTATCTATCTACATGCAATAAATTGGTAAAATCGGAATATCCGCTAATAAAAATGAGATAACATGATAATATGACGGTACTATCAATATGTTTCAATTTGTGAAGTCGGTAAGTCACCATTACAAGAAATGAAATTTTAATACTTTTTGACAATTTATTCATATGTAATTTATCATCGTTTATTTATATGTGTTTTAATTTTTTCAATTTTTTCAATTTTTAAATTACACTTTTTTTTATATGTTTGATAATTACATTATAATCTAATAATAGTATAATAATATGATATTTTATATTTTATAATATCTTCCTGGATTTGTGATAAATTTATTGGCGCAAAAGACGTATACCATTTTCGTTTGGGATAAATCCGCCGGCGCAAAAGATGTATAAATTTCAGGTAGTCTAGAAAAATTGGCGCAATTGACAAACACCGATAATTGTATGATTTCAATTTTAGATACATGATACTTTATACTTATGTTTCAAAAAAACCCTTCAATATTGTATACAGTAATTAATGCAATGAAATGTTTTTTATTCACAGGTAGCCCAAGTAAAGGTAATATTATAGGCATTAATCTTCCATTCGATAACACAATACGTATAGGTACATGTATTTTAGTTGGTAAATAGTAAAATGTATTATATTATATTTAATATCTACTGTTAAGGTGGATATGACTGTATATGCATGTTTTTTGTTTTGTCTCTTGTTACTTTTTGAAACAGGCAATATGCTTCAATTCAATCAATACAACTTTGTGGGTGATTTCTGTTTGAAGATGTTATCTAGTTTCAGTGGGTCAGATGTATAAATATACACCAAAGTGAAAAAAACTTAAAATATTATCATTGATCATTGATTAATATGAAAATTGGTAATATGCAAATACATTTTTGCACAACATCTCATCATTAATTGGTTTTCAGCCCCAGAAATGTTTTTCCTCAATATGACGCATCAATTGCACCGCTTAAATGGTGTACAATACCACAATGAATTATGCTAATAATGTTTATTATCATTCTAATTATGATGATAATAATGATTACAATAATGGAAATAAATTATTGTCGTGTAAATAGATTTTACATAAAATAACATACCTCGACACAAAGTGTATAGTCCGAAATTGGAAATGTGCACTACGGATTTGAGAAGTGAGTACCTACTAAGAAATTATCTATAAACTACTTTCAAGACGACTACTGTCTAGTGTCTATAGTGTCTACTGACTAGGTACCTATACCTACTACCTTTTATTTTTTTTAAAGATAATTGTCTATGATAACAAAAATACTTACATTTTAGTCATTTTACCAAATGGATCTTTTCAGTTTACTTCTTTACTTTTATTTAGTATCGTAAAGGTGATTCCTCGTCATATTTTTTTCAAAATGTCTATTATGTGTAATTTAGGTACATTTCCAAGGTGCAAAATAACATATTAGGTATTAACCGATTTTATTATGATATGCAAATCAATTAGGTACTACGAGGAATCAAACATTAGATCAATTAAATTTTAAATGAAATATCATACATAAAATAAAGCATTTACCTATCAAATTTTAATATTATCATTTATTTTTATTTTTTTCATTTTTCATAGCTTCCAGTACTAGAATAATACAGCTCAACAGTTACATAAGAAATACACATATGCAGACAATATTACATGATAATCTATAAATATCTTACACGATGGTATAGGTATATATAGTACTGGCATTTATATTTCATGAGTACATTTCTTGTATTTTGTAATATAAAAATAGATTGGTAGTTACCAATAAATTGGCAATTAGTAATGTATAATTTGTCTCTGTATCATCTGATTTTACATAACAAAAATGCGTATTACGAATATTTATGAAAAATAGGGACTGCAAACATGGGACTAGCATAATAACTTTAAATTATAAGATTTTAGTTTGTTTGAAAATAATCATAAGAAAAATTTTACAATTCGCTGTAATAGATAATAAAATATCTGATATAATTACAAATATAATACAGATATATAACAGATATATACAATTTATTACAGATATAATTGCTAAATTGCAGCGTAGTGTAAGCGCCATAAAAGTTAGGTCACAGTATGATCAACACAGTTTTACTTTGGATAATCGGTTTTTTTAGAACTTATTATTCAAAATCAGATAACCCGGACCTTTGGTTTTAAAAATATTAAAATCTTAAATGTTATCACGGATTAAAATATTAGGTACATTATTACCGGAATACAACAATATAATAATACCAGACTACAAAAGGTACTGGCCATAATCTTCTACCGAATCATCCATTCAAACTCATTCACAGTCTGTTAGTTAGGCACATTTATACTCAAAAACTACTCTACCAATGTTTGTTCATAGAAAAATCATGAAAATTAAGAGAGTACTGAGTAGTTCCAAGTACGTCCGAAAATATATCAATATTCAATCGTTACAATATCCAATCCGCCTGCCCATCTCGGTCGAATTAATTCACAAAGCGAGTAGGTAGCAATACATCTATACATCCTCTCGTGAACCGAGGTACACTAATACCGATATTTCGAAATTTTATGTTTGTTCAAATTTTTCTGGGCGAAGTCAGTTTATAGTGAATATTTTATGTTATAATCATTAAAATTAAAATTAAATTAAAATAAAGATCATAATTTACAGCGTCATCTTGCGACAAAACTGATCGGCCACCTCATGGGTGGTTGCAAACATTGATATATAGAATACACTTGGTAGATAGCGCTGCTGTTATCGTTTCCTGCACAAAGCCACATCCGCATGGCATCACCCGCGACCCGCCCACCAGCTTGTTCGTTACCAGTCCAAACTATCTTAGTTTGTGTCTTCAACCGTGGTTACAATTAATATAACCATAGAATGATTCTATGATAATAAGCAGTTCATTATCTATACTCTATACATTCTGTGACAATCACATTTCGCAATTATCTACATTGTGATATTATGAATCAAAAAATATTATTATAAATTATAATATACATTCGTACTGATGATTATTGAATAATGATATTATGTTCTCTGTGCCTAATTTTCATGTAAACCAATATCATTAAATTTTAACAAACACGCTTTCCGAGTTGCTACAATTAACAGGACTTTGCATTTTATTAAGACATTAACATTGGGTAAGAATTAAAAATACTAAAGTATTGAATATTGATATAAATTGATGTAGGTAATTTGACTAATATTTGAAATGCTATCGCTTGTGTAGAATTTTTTGAAAATTTGGACTGATGTCTTCTGATAGTAAAAGTGGAATCCCCTCCAACGAAGAACTCATAGAAGAACTCACTAAAAACTTGGAGAGTTCAGCCATTAAAACTGATTTTCCTAGTGATGATGTAGTATCTCATCACAGTGAATCGGATTCAGAGTTTGATACTAATGTAAATGAAGAAAATGAAATTAGAGACGAAGATTACATTGATGACACTCTATTAAAAGAAAGAGATGATAAACTACCAGAAGAAAAAAAACGGGTTAGTTTAAGAATTTATAATTTATACCTATTATACTATTATTAAATATATGTGAAATTATTATAGATGGTAAGTGCATAAGATAATTATATGCCAATTAAACAATAGAGTTCACACAGTAAAAAAAACTATTTTTTAAAATAATTACTTATATATATATGTAAATGATTTTAGGAGTTACTACAAGAAGCTCTTAGTTTAAAAAACGAAGGTAACATCAAATTTAAGAATCAAGAACACGAAGAAGCTTCTAAAATATACACAGATGCATTACGTACTTGTCCATTAATTTTCCCAAATTACAGGGCAATATTTTTTGCTAATCGAGCTGCAGCTAAATCTAACATTGTATGTTATAGCAATAACATATTCCTTGTAGTTACTCTCATTTAATACATGATTTTATTTATTTTATCTGCAGAATATTGAAAGTGCTATACAAGATTGTACTCGTGCTATTGAGTTAGATCCTGATTATTTAAAGGCGTATATTAGACGTTCTAAATTGTTTGAACGCAATGACAAGCTTGATGAAGCATTGGATGATTTAAAAAAAGTCCTCGAAATTGATCGAAATTATGCTGAAGTGGCATACAATGCTAGAGTTAGTAATAATTAATAATAGTTATTCATTATTAGTATTTTAATTATTTTTTTTATGTGTACTTATTTATACAGGTATTACAAGAAAAAATAAATGAACGTAATGAAAAATTAAAAACTGAAATGATGGCTAAACTTAAAGATTTGGGCAATATGGTACTAAAACCATTTGGTTTATCTACCCAAAACTTCCAACTCAACCAGGATCCAAACACTGGTGGCTACTCAGTTAATTTTAAACAATAATTCAAATTCATATTTTGCTACAACTTATCAATTCTCATTAGTTTGTACATATAAAGTTAATTATAAGTATATTATAAATAAAAACTAATTGGTGATAAAAACATATTTATTTGATCAACTTTTTATTGTTTAAAAATAAGGTTTTATTTTAATAATAAAAATAAAAAGTTAAGTAAATGCAAAATTAGGTATGTTAAGTCAAACAAAACCACACAACAAAAAAAAAAAAATAATACTAACATAACAATAGTTTTCTTCCATAGACCATAAGAATGCAAGATTCAAAATATTTAAATGAAAAACCATTGTAAGATTGACATTTTGTTTGTATGACTATAGTATTTGTATAACACTCAACAAATATTTTTAGACAATTTTCACATGAAGAATTCTTCCGTCGAAACGGATAATGTGAGTCATGTTCTGGCCACTATAGGTTGATCTAGCATAGTGATTTCAATCTGTTAATAAAGAGTTAAGGTAAAGTACATTTTCTAAATACGAACTGCTGAAGGCCTATGTATATAAGTTATGACTTATGATATAATATGAGAACCATAACGCTTATAACTTTCAAATTGTTTTAATTAATTTAAATATTAAATACGGTCAGTACCATCTATCACAATGGCCAAGGAACCATGAAAAATATGACGTTATATAAATGTACGCATAAATAAACGGAATTTTGCCAAGATCTTGAAATGAACGCCATACCCTATATGTAGTTATAGATGGTACCGACTGTGTGTAACTTTTCAATACCAAATGTGCACCATACATATGTAAAATGTGTATTTACTGTTTACCAAGACTATGAATAGGGCTGGGATTTTGATATATTATGCATTGTTTTCCAAAGTTAACTACGCGATGCTCGTTTAATAGATCACATTTCATGTATTTTTTAATCAGAATAAAGTTTTTATTTTGCATTTTTAATTGTATAGTCATTTTTTCATATTTTAAGGCATTTAACATTTGGTTGTTTAAAATATTGCATTTCAAGATTTTTATGTTAAACAGTATCTTCATAATATACTTAAAGAATTTTTACCATATCAAAAAATATTAATCGCAATTTTTTGAACTGATACATAGGTTTTAAAAATCGATATTATGATTGGTAACTTGAAATTAAAAGAGAATAATTTGCTTTTTCAGATTAAAGGTCTACTTAAAAGACTAGTAATTACTGTGCAGTCCCGTAACTTTTTTTTAGTCTACAAACTATTTAAACTTGTTCTTGATACCTATACTTGCTTTAATTAGTATAAATGTCAAAAACTAAATGCTGAAATCAAGTCTACATTGTATACATCTACCTACTACCCACAAGTGTAACTATTGTCTTTTTACACCGGTTGACCAAATACTAAATTTAGGTGATAAACTTAATAATTTTTATTCTCTCGGAGGTACAACATTGTATGAAAAATAATTGTGTAGTTTATAGCTCTAAATGTTCTCATTAATATTTTTCTTTTTCTTTTGTTGCTCCTAATAACAAGTATTTTAATAAGTATTCTGAAATAACTATAAATATCTATAGTTTAAGCCGACTGGGCGACGGGTGTTTATAAATAAATAAATAAAATAAAAATTTAAGTACATCAATTTGAATATGTTCCCAGCCATATTAATGAAAAAATTGTTTGGCTACAATTTTGGTATGCCTAACACTATTCACTGAATCATATTTATATGAAGAAGAAAAACTACACTACCATCAATATCTTAAATTTCAATAATTTATGAACCAAAAAATGCAAGCTGTGGTTTAAAAAAGAAGGCCCAGTAAAGTAAATAATAGTTATTTATAGAAATAGGATGTTGATGACTTTTCAGTTTTTTTCTTTGATACTATATTATACTATCTTAGCTCAAAATTTATTTCACACTTCCTTGATTCAGAATGTACTAATTTTATTTTGCATTTTTAGCTATAATTGCTTTTTTATTTTTAATCGTATTTTTGATATATTTTTAAGTCGTTTTTTCATATTATAGGTATTTTTATAGCTTTTTGTTTTTGTACAATATAGGGAATTTTTCACAAATTTTAAATTTTAAAGAAAATATGTTTACTTCAAAAAATTATTTTATTATTATTGGAGGGTTTTTGTTGTGATTAAGTTTATTGAGTCATTTGATATATTTTTTTTAACTGTAAATTAAACTAAAAAAATCTTCTCAGCTTACTTATCTTACTTTATTAATTTTTCAATTCATATTTCAAATTACTTTTAACACCTGAGAAAATTGTCTAAGTCATGTTTTATATTTTTCAGGGCATTAAACATTTTTTGGGTGACTGTGGGTACTTATTAAGGTCATCGACATCCTATCTCTAGTTATTAATTAACAGTTGCATGATAATAAAACAAACATTATAAAGGATACAATTCTTAAACCTCGTTCAGCAGGATTGGTAAGCAGCAAACCTCTTGGTAAATAGACCATTTCATTCTGTTCGACTATAAATTTTCCAACTTTTCGTAAACACTAAAAATTAAATTGAACAATCATTTAATAATAATAATGTAATACCTACATTGAAAATGATTTATTATTTATTTACTTTTTCATAATGTGTATCTGCACACAAAAACATTGTATACACTGTGAAACACGCAAAACAGCCTTCACAGTATGTCTTACATGAAGCCTTTTCAGCTTCAGCGAAATAAGTATTCAACTGATTGATTGTATATTCAAAAACTGTTCGCTCGATCTACAATCAAACAATATTCATAAAGTTAATATTGTAATAAAATCAAGCTTTCCAATAAGATTCTTACTTTGTTTTCAAGTCCTTGTGGGAAACTCGTCATAAATTTCACAGTTGTGCCATCAGAATAGTCTCGTTGAACAAATACTTTAGCATATTGTGGCCCTTGCGTCTGACTGGCTGTATTTCCTTGAGACGACCTTATAGTTGGTGGAGACATAGTGTATAGAATATATTATTATGACTGCAAAGTTAATGCTTTCAGTCTACCTGACAAATATGAACTAGTTATTCACTGACTAGTGATTTAAAAGTAAAAAAACAAAACTGTATTGTAGCAAGTTATGCACTTGATTTTTATACCTAATAATAACAAGATAATATAAAGTGACTTATTTTAGGTTTTTCTAATCTAATAAATATATTTAAAATTTAAATAATAAATAGGTAAAATATTTATTGATGTTCCAAAAAAGAAGTTATCGAATGTTTGGAATTGGATCAACTACTAACTGTAGCACTGTACCTATCTATGTCCTATATTATTATAGTTATTTCTATCTTCAGATATTATATAAAAGTATATATCTGTGTTACTATCTAAAATTTGAGAAAAATACACTGATAACACGAACAATAATAATATGTGATAACAAATTAAAAGATAAACAATTAAAACATTATAAAACAATGAGATGGAGTTGGGAGCAGCATAAATTATAAATTTTATGTATAGGTATCTATTTTAATTCATGGTAAATGTGAGATACGACCTAAGACTCTTGAACTCGGTTGGAACATGAAAAATCAAAATACCTATTTCAACAAAATAAATAAAAAATGTTTTTTCTTATATTTAACACAGTCAATCAATTTTCCATGCAGAAATCCAGCAACGTCGTTCATAGGTAGAGAACTTTGAGACCTACAAAATTTAACCAATATGGTAAGTAATCTGTGATATTTATATAATATTATTATGAGTATTGAGTACCAGCTTTCATAGTTTATTGATTTACAGCTTATGAATGCTTGTGATCCGATTTTTAATGCCAGTATACAATTGGACGGCAGTTGTATATCTCGAGAAGGCTATTCCGTAGAAAATCTTATATCGCCAGATGCAGGATTACGAAAAAGAGGATTTCTATGCGAGACTTTCATTCGGCCACCGGTGAGCTTAACATTCAATTTCCCGTTTGCATTTGACATTAAGTACGTAGTGATCGGCACACGGGTGGGCGGTCAGAAATCCTCGGGTTTTCAGATATTAGCTGGGCGCAGTGATAATGTACAAAGGATCTGTTCTATGATAACTGAAAAAGAGGCAATATTGTTTCATGATAATAGCACAGATTTATCCACCTTTGGGAACGAATACGATAAATGCTGTTTTAATATATCGGCAAGTAGAAATATCAGATCAGCTGAGAAATTATCAGTGCGTATTTTCAAAACAGCAAATTCTATACCAGCAATAGGCAAGTTGGAAGTTTGGGGAAAAATTTCATGTGGAGTACCAAAAGAAATCCATCAATCAATAACTCGTAGTTGGGAAGAAAGTAAAAGACCAAAAGAAATACAAAAAAAAATTAAAGATGCGCAACCGATCACAGAAATTAATTCTGAAATGTTTGTTATGTGTGATGACTTTTTAGATTCAATTACTTATGAAGTGATGACATGTCCTATGGTTCTACCTTGTGGAAAATATGTCGACAGTACTACAGTAGAAAAGTGTATTAAACATGATACCATGTATGGACGTTCACCTTGTGACCCTTTTACTGGAATACCATTTACAGATAAACTAAAACCTATGCCTGTGCCCGAATTGAAAGGACGAATCGATTCGTTTCTAATAAAACACGCAGATGATAAAAATGTGAAGTGTATTCCACGAGCAGTGGGTAAACATAGTTTTAGTTTTTACACAGAACGACAGACTAAAAAAATTAAAGTACAATGTAGCAAATGTGACAAAAACTGTAATTTGTATAATTTACCTTGTAAACACCTACAATGTAGAAATTGCCTAAAGACTGAGATAATAAAATGCAATATTTGTCACAATAACTTTAATCGGAGTGAAATAGAAAAATATCATGAAAACCATTAGTATAGACAAGATTTTGTTACAACACTGATTACAACTGTGATTTCTGATCATTCCTTCAATGAGGTAAAATATTTCGTTCATAATTAATCAATTATCAATAATAACTATATGGTTAATAATATTAATGACAGAATGAGTATAAGGCAGCGGCTATTCATTTGTTATTTTAGTTTTTAATCTACTATTTCCTAAGTACATATTATATTGTATATTATGTGTTAGTTTTATTGATCTGACACTATTGCATACATATTGCCTTGTACTGTATTGCAAAATAAATGTGAATTATGTATAAAAAACACCACTAAAAGTATTAATTCAAACTAAAAATTATATTTTAATCACAGTTAAAAAAAAGTAAGCCTGTGATATTTGTACACATATTTTTCATTAAATGTTTAAATTTATTGTGTATGAATTATTTTTATTATAAATACTCCTAATAAAATCATTGCCTTAACATGTTAAACGCTGATGTCAACACATAATTGACACATGTAAATGGGCACTCGTGATTGGTGTCAACACGTAGTTGACATAAAAAGGACCCTATGGCCAGAGTTAACATGTTGTACACTAATCCAATGGCATACCAAGGGGCCAGGGGGCTAAGGGGGCGTCAGCTCCTCCTATTGGACGTGTTATGGTTTAAATTTTATGTAATAAAAGGCAAATCTATTATACAACTGTTGAACTATATTAGTTTTTACTTAAAGCTATATTAATAAAAAAAAAAAACCATATTTCTGAAAACGGTTTCGAAGAAACATTTTGAATAATACCAATTACTTGTAATGGCTATTACGATTTACGAGATATAGTCATTTTTTTGTTTTTATTAATTTAAAGTGTCCTTGACGTTTCATCTAAATCTTAATGTTAAAAGAATTCGATTTTTTTAATATTTGGTGAATAGATAACAATTAGTAATAAAATATTAATAATATAAGATATATCTAAGTAGTATCTAACCCTTTTAAATATTTACAAATCAAAAGACAAAAGAGAAAAAAATAATTATAACAAAAGGTTGTGTGGGCATTCACGTTTGAGTGGGCATACAGAGGGCGGGGAGATATAGTAATGACAACCTGGTATAAGGTAACAGATATCAAACTCAGATTTACTTTGTTGAGCCCCCCCCCCCCCCATTTATAAAACCTGAATAAGCCACTGCAGAAACCAATTTTTTTATTAAGTTTTTAGTAGGCAAAAAGAGAACAACACATTTAAAATTTGTATCTTCCATTAATTACCGTATTGAAAATTTCATTAAATATACCAATTTTATAACCGACCGCAAGTCAAATCAAAGTGGCTACTGGCGCACATATAAAATTGACTTTGGAGTTGAATGTTTTAAGAAAATAGATGCTCATGTCAAATCTCAATTGTAAAACATATTTGTCTATTCTTACTGTAACTGTGTATACTACCAATGCATATTGTTCATTGGAGGTAGTAGCAACACACTGAAGTCAGCTCATATCCACCCAAAAAATTTCACCATCAGGAAGTAATGCCAAAGAAGGCCGTGTTTTTGTGGAATATTTCAAGCTATAAACTATATTATCTCGTGCAGATAAATTTTAAGTTCACTAAACAATCCTTGTAGGGGTTTGATTAATCATCCACGTGGCTAATGGCTATAACATCCAGCGACTTTGCAAAGTTGATTAAAAATATACTTATCAATTCCTTACTACCGTCTGCCATTCGTCCTCAAAGAATTTCAAGTTGCAGCAGTATTCACCTTTAGTACCATGTTTTTTGAAATAGTATTTGTAGAAATAATTTAATAATATAATCATGTAATTTTTTTTATATAAATATTTAATCATCGACAACACAATTTAATATTTAATATGATTTGTATGAGATTTTACATTTTTACTGTTAATTGCTTAATAAAAACCTTTGTTACCTACTATAAACATTATGTGTTAACTCATTTGTATAGGTTGTTCTCCTTGAGGTCACACAATAACCACTATGGTACTATGAGCAAAACTTTATAACTCTTTTATCTGTGACACCCAGGGGTTGTTTAGGATGTAGAAACACTCCAACTCCTCCCCCACCATTGCTGTGTTTTTGCAAAAAATGTATTACGTGGTACATGATTTAAATTTGTACAAAATATGTCAATAATGGACATATAGTTCCATTTCATATTTAATATTATTAATATGAAGATTGATGACTACAATGTAGTCATAAACTTTAGAAAAATAAGTCGATATGAACAATATTAGTGACAAAAATCATAAAATTATATTATTTTCAATAAACACGTTTTGATAAAAATATGTTTTTGTTTTCTAATAAGGACTCTACATAGACCTTATACTAACTTTAAGTACCTTAGGAGGTCTATGGGCACAAAGCAGTAATATTATTCATATGATAGAAAATCGAAAATATTTTCAAAGGTATGAGCATTTATTATTTAGATGTATTTAAGTTTCTAGGGAACAGTTTTATCGGCTGTGACCAAAGTATGCACACACTAATGTCCAACACCATATCTAGTAAAAAAAAAAAAGATTGTTGAGTTGTTACGACGTAAAGTTACAATTAAACATAATATACATACTTGCATCATACAATGTACATAGTCAATATATTTTTATTACTTCTGTCCTGAACCTTACTGCTTTATTCATTAGCAACTCTATGTGGATTTGGCGGTACAAAACAAAAAGTATATTTTATTATACGAGTTCCCAACACACACAACATGATGATGAAAGAAAAAATGGGTAATAAAAAAATAATGAAAAAAAACTGTTCTACATGCTTTTTTTATTTTGCATATCATCTCATAAAACATTTTCATTTACAAAATAAATTTCATAAAAATCTGAAAAACCTTACATGCAACATTGATAAATTTGATTAAAATAGAAACTCCTATGGTATGTATATATTTCTATAAAACATATACACATAATATATTTATAAATAAAAATAAAATTCATATTGTCAAGCGTATAATATTAATACAATATATTATATAAATATAGTTTATATAATATTATAAACATTGTGTTTCTTGTCTTCTACTTTAAAATATATGTTTTTAAACAAAATAAGATTGAAATAAATTAAAATGTATAACATTTAAACTCAATGTGTTTAAACGAAAAGAAAAATAATAATTTTACCCTATGGCACATGAGCCTGAAATACATCAAACAGTAATTGATAAATTGTTTTGGGAGGCAGTAAAGTGCTCATCTACAAACAAAATTTTTTTCTAAAATCTACAATATACATATATATGTATTTATAATTATTTTATATAATATTAACTACAAACGTCTAAAATAACAAGAAAAACAAAAACACGACTATTTTAACGTTGAGATTCGTAAACAACAAAATAAAATAAAGTAATATAATAATGTATGTATATGATATATATATATTTAGCCTATTCGAGAGATTGTCTAAATTATTTAGGCTCTTAAGTACTTACAAAAATATTATAAAAACTTAATTATATATATATAAATATATATTAATTTTTTCAATATGTATAAATATATATTTTCATATAATATATAATATTAAATATATCTCACTAATAAATAAATTATTGTGAGTTTTATATCTATATTTGTTTAACATAATTCTATAATAACAAAAAAAAAAAAAAAATGTAGAACGAACTGGCATGGGTCGATTTTGGCACCTGGCATATGGTATTATTTAAGATATTATATTTTAATTTTATTTAATACTGAAAATTTTCTCTACATAATAATATCGAAAAATTTTTCTAAAAAAAAATTAACATTTTATTGCACGCTATATATAAAATATTAAATAGTTCTTATAAATAATAACAACATAAAAAAAATATATTTATATTTCTTTTTTTTAATTTTCTTATTTTATATCCTTGTTTAAACTAAGCGAATTTGATAATAAGTAGAGTTGTAAAAAAAGTTTGTTCAATATTCTTTTATATTTTTAATTGTCGTATACTTTGTGTTATTAGACCATTATGGTTCAGTGTTCAGAAAAATAAACAAACAAAAATACTAAGACTAGTGACGACAAGCGTATAACGAATGTCGACATCAATACCAATATAAACAAATATATAGATACATATGTTTTTAAAGGTATCAAGGGACTCAACAAAAAAATCTATCTAGTCTTTAAATTGTAATATTACGAAACAACATTAAACACTATAATAATATAAATAAAACAAATATTATTATACGAAAATGATTAGACAGACAGATAATTGGTTAGACGAATAATTTCAAGTGCAACATTGCGTTTTTTAAGTGTGTATATATGTGCGCAGAATGATATTGTTTAGTTGTTAATTATAGTTCCGTCTGGCAATCGTCGCACTTCGGCCGCAGGCTGCATTGTGTGGTGTTAAAATAAAGGTCCAGTATGTTAGATCTCCGCAAGCCTTTTTTTGAGGTTAAATATAAAATAAATAAAAAACATGTTAGTAATGAAATATTTAAAAAAAAAAAAAAAAAATAGCAGCTATAAGTATTATGTTCTATTATTGTATTAGTGTAAGTACGCCAGTGACAAACATAAGAGTTCTGCCAAGTGTATTTCAATAGTTATTAGTACAATATTTTACTACCATATGTATGAAAAGCGTTATGTCGTATAATACATATAAGTAAGACAAAAAAAAAACTTTCATGTGATAATATTATTTTTATTATTTAACCAGTAATGTAAGTTTTTTTCATTCCACTGTTTGTATATATGCATTAAATTTAAATATTATAGTGCAAAATAAGGGATGTTTCGTAGTAATCTTAAATAATTTTGATACATGACTACCTTCACCAATAAACAAATCTTCGGTTTTGCTGTTAAATACAATATTAGAACACAATACGTGAAAAAAATACTTAAATATGTTACATCTACAAATTAATAATATATATGTAGCTCCTACACCTACATAATACTGCCATAGCAAGCGAAAAAACATGTAAAATGTATATAAATTAACTATAAACGAATACATAAATATTTATTTATATATTAAATGCAGGTATATAATGACAAAATTATACCTACATAAATACATAAATAAATTATGAGAAAACAATAAATAAAAATATCACAACCGAAAAAAGGTCTAGAAAAATAGAAGCATAAATAATATTTTACGCGTGGAGGTCGTCGAAATTGCTGAAAAAAAATTGGGAACTTTGAAGTTTGATAATCGCGCCAGATTATACCCTATAAACTATGATTGTCTAACCCTAAATTAAAAACGAATAGCAACTGACCTTTCAGATTCAAAGAACTTTTTTTTTAATTTTGGTTTTTTTTTTTTAATTGACAATCGAAGTGCCAACCCTCTGATACGGATGATCCCTGATCTGAGTCAAATGCCTTCTTTGTTTGGCGACCTGAGCCGCCGCCGCAACCGCGGCTGCTGCACCTGCTATAAACATATTATTTCTATTTATTTATTGAAAATTAATTTTTGTAATGCATTTATAAAAACACCGTTAGAGAGCCAGGTTCCATTTTAAAACGTCGACCCCCTACAACTTGTACAAAAATAATAGTAATTATAATTTAAAAAATATATATATATATATATTTTATATATTATGTATAACAAATTCTAAACATAGATGTGTACTAAACAATCACAAAAAAAATATACATAACATTAATTATATAATCAGCCTGAGTATTTTTTTTTATAATAATATTATAATATAATATAATATAAACATAATTAAAATATTAAAAGTGTTTGTCATGGTACTTCATTCTTATCAAATTAAGGAACTTTAGGTGTCAGAAGTGTATATTCTTCTTATGAGTAAAAAACCTGTTTGGTGGTTCTTCTTGGTCCCTCAAGTATTTTGTTAATTTGGGTCCTAATGTTTTTAATATTTTGTTTTATAATTGTTAAAACTTTAGTATTAACTATTAATGTTAGAGTCACACCTTGGTTTACATATTTCTAAAAATAATGTAAATATTTGTCCCGGTTAGTTGAAAATATTGACTAAGAAGATATATGAGAGATATTTTTTATTTTAGTAATTCCAAAACTATGTAAAATAACAGAAATAATAAGGATTTGTTTGAATGTTATTACTTATTAGAATTGTTTTACCAGTTAGAATACAAATTCTAAGATTATATTTTTTCAATAGGAAGTACTTGAGGAGTATTATTAGGAAAAATATTTGATTACCGTATTAAATTCATTAGTACACACCTAGTTTTTTTAATTATATTTTAGTCGAGTTAGACTAATATTTGAACTAACTAAACGCGAAAGAAACAGAGATAAAGAAGGGATATATATGTGTATATAACTAAAATAAAATCTATAAATAATTACTATAAAAAATTAAAGCTTTGTGTAATAAAATCGATTAAAAGCGCGCAAAAAATTAAGGAATCAAAAAAAAAAAAAAATAATCATAATCATAATAAAATAAACAAGATAAATAATAATTATATAAATAATAATAATAATAATAATCATAATAATAAAAAAATAATAATAAGGAATATTGAAATAAAATTAATTCCTAAAATTATACATAAATAATAAATAAGATAGCACCTCACAAACATAAAAAAGAAGGGTTGGATGGCCAAATACTAAGGATGGTACTAACGTTGATTTGGCCAGTGACGGTAGGTGAGCCCTTGTAGTTCTGGAACCATTAGCATGTATCTGGCCGAACATTCTTTTAATATAATAATAAAAATAAATTAAAATTTAAAAAATATCTCAAGAACAGTTTGCTTTGAAAAATAAAAATACTGATTAGGTTCATATGTGTTTTTTTCAGTCTTATTAAAAACTAATAATTGTTTAGTGATATTTGAACAGGGGCATTTTAATTGGAGTTTTAAATTATTTTCATCCTGAATTATGATTTCTCAGTCTCCCAAGCGCATTCAATCATATACATCATATAAATATATATATATTATATATATTTATAAATAAATCTTTTTTTTTAACAAACAAACAACAACGCACCCGAGTGATCGGCAGGAGTATATTCTGTGATCAATGGTGATCCAGCCAATGCATAGTTGGCATAATCAGCATACGGCGTATATATAAGACCAGCTGCAGCTGCTGCTGCTGCAGCATGATGATGATGTTCAGCAGGAGATAAAAGTTGGGGTGCACCAGGATTTCCACCACTAGTAGTAATGGCAGTTGGGATACGTGGCGATAATATAAGTGGTGCAGTTAATGGCGTGGCAGTCTGTGGTCGCAAAGTTGTGGCTAGGCCACCCATACCATGTGGCGACAAAAGTCGCTGTGTCTCAGCAGCTGCTGCAACAGCCATCCTACGCCATTCCTCATCGCAAGCTAAAATATTCAAGTATTAGTATATTGTGACTAAAATACTACATAAATCATAATTTTTATTATTTAATTTACCTGCTGCTGCTAAGGCTTTAGCATTTGAGTCCCTATATGTACCGTTGATGATAGCAAGTTCCATCAGTTGGCGTTTCTTCAATTCATCTTCTCCATCAGCCTAAAAAAATAATTAGTACTTTAATAAAATAATAACATTTGAATGTAATTGAATACCAAAAAGATTAACACAAATAATTTCAACTAACAGGTACAAGAAGCCTTTTCACTTCATCAATGGCTCTCTTCAACTTGAGCTTAGCCCGGTTTTCAGTGTCTTCAACGGATATCAAAACATGAAGTTCTTCGCTCAAATGTTCCCAATTGGGCTTACCTCTGTTTTGTTCCTCCTTGAAACATACATAATTACAATTAATTGTTAAAACACTTGAAACTATTCAATTTTTATTTACTTACGATTCCTGTATGAAAAACTTCCGATAATCGTGTTAGCAAATAAATGATATTTATATTTTATGTTAGACAAGAAAAATCAATACAAAATTTAACACTTAGTTTAACACTTAATTTTCGTACATACCTTTTTCTTATCACGCATTGAACCCTTTCCCCGAACCATAATCTTGCATCCGGTCTCCAATTCCAATTGTTTTGCAGTCATACCTCGTGGGCCCAATATCCTTCCAACAAAGTTGAACTAAAAATTAACAATACAAATCTCTTGTTAAAATCGTACTATGGATTAGGAAACTACATTTAAAAATGACACACAAAACAAACATAAGATAATTTTAATATGCTAATTGTTGGTCACGAATCGGTAAATCAAAGCAATTAGCAGATACGTATAATTTTCACCGAACTGTATTTTAATTTTTTTCGTGTCAAACTTTACACGCATCTGTAATGCACAATTCTTATTTTTGTATCTATTTCGAAATAAATTGATTACGTTATGAATTCGTTTCAACATCCATCAATCAAACAGATACCCCCACGTTTAATAATATTAATATTGTGTTTTTTCGATTACGATTTACGAATAAATGTAAAGTGCCGATTAATATACTGAGGCCTTATTGAAGACTATTGAAACCAATCGACAGATAATAACGACATTTGAAACGACGTTAACATCGTGTGTATACACCATAATATAGTCGGCTATCTCTCGGCTAGCACCGAGTGGATACGTCAATTTCTTTGACCGACGTACTTGAATCATTAGTTTTCGTCTTTCCGACACACACCATACATTAAACATAATATATAGTATGATATAGTAATAATAATCGTGGTGTGTATACTACGATTATAAACAGTCGAGTGGTATCCACTCGTCGCTATTATAATATTACTAATTGACTCAAACACACAAATGGCATTTTAAACACGCGAGGTTTCCTTTTTACGACCGGCGTGTATGAATATTATACGACTAGGTTGGTTAGGACATTTTAAACGTCGTGTGTACACACGGACCAGCTGAGCTTAAAACACAATTTGTGTTTCAGGATCGATGTACCAATAATAACTGCGCTCATTACATTATAAGATCAGTAAACCAATTACTGCGGTTACTTTTTCGTTTAACTTTAAGATATGAATTTTTCCAATTTAATTCCGTCAACATTGGATTATCATACATTATACACGATACACGAACTATGTAGATATATGACATTTATTGAAAATTAACAACTTTATATTGATTGCCGAGTGACTGGTTAAATATCTTTTCGAAAAAAAAAATATATATTCTTTCGTACCTATTTAAAATGTTAATAGCTGATTGGCAGACAATATTCAATGACAGTATCGGAAATTTCATGAATGTCAATTAGGTACTCATTATATAACCAACATTGAACATGTTATACAAGTATGAATTTGAGTGATATCTATACAGATTATAGGCGAAATCAAGTTGTCATTTTCACAAGCTATATTTTTAATTTTATCTTATTTAAAGCCTAATCAGTTCGTTGCACTGCACAATACTCTATATCACGGGATAACACGATGATGATACTACTTTTAAATATACGACTGTATTAATTATTGTGTGTACATACTACATATTAATATGATTTAGTGGCAAAAGCTTGGTGGCCCTCTCATAAAATTATAAGCAATCTCTGGGGTTACAATGCACCCCCAACACTGCCACTAGTTGCGGCACTGTGAACGGCAGAATATTATAATGAATATTATTTTTACATATTTTTAATTAAAAAGACCAACGGCTATAATCTAATGCAATTATTGGTCTACCAACCCTTCAAATAACAAAGTAAAATTGGTATACTATATACATAAAAAGATTATTTTAAACTCCCATACACACCACGACTAGTTTCTACTACAGTGCAAAAACGGAAACGTCTGCACGGACAACATACGGTTGGTAACAATATTATTGTTATAGTTGGAACTACTATATTATTATGTACCCATACAAAACAATAATTGGTGGGAATCGCATTTGCTCAGAAAAATTATTTTCCTAATTTTTAAATTCCCAGAAATTTTCCAACAAGACCTAACCTCCAATACGACGACGCAAAACCGACACCTACAAAATACAGTGATGATAACGTGGTCATAATTATACAATTTCACGAAACATCAATTTCAAGTTTTAAACATCACACGCGGACTGTAGTCGTCTATTTTTATTTCCCTTTGTTACACCGCTGGATGAAGCAGTTGATGATGACAATAATAATTAATAATAGTCCTACATAGCCTGCCTGTGTATTAACTATTATTTTATGGATGGCACTCCTCTGTAGACATGCGTAACCGTGGTTACACCTCGTCCTTTATATAGTATTATTATGGTACCACAACGTTCTTACTACGGTTTAACATATCATATTATGTCAAGGCATGGTAATTATAACAACGTCCGAGATCGCAGGCTCCACAGTCCACAGTAATGGCGTTCAATCGAATAAGAAAGCTAAAATACTCTAGGAAGCATATTATTTTTCCAAAACGGCGAGAATTTCAAAAAAATCCAATATACGCCTAATATGTATTTTCATACTCGTTTAAATAATTTTTTTTTCAAAACAATTTGGCACGAAAATGCTTATTGATGTTGTATTGAGTGAGTTACACAATTAACTCTCTCAGTCGCCTACAAACATTCTATAATCTATTTCTCTATACATAATATTCAGACGAGATAAAAGTATACACTAACTAATAATTTTATGAAGTTAAATTGTACCTAACTCCGTGACCCATGATGCCGCATACGTTGGTCATTACTTTTATATATTTATCAATTATACCCATCTAATGATTGCAAATATAAAGCACAGCCCTACAGTTAAGCATGAATGTACGACTAATGATGCATCACAATATCAATATGTTTCATCGAAATTGTTATTGTAGGGCCCGAATGATAATAATTAATTTAGGTAGGTACACTATGATGACCTCGGCGGATTCAATGTAATAGAAAGCCGATAATTATGCTAAATTTACTAATTTATTGACGGAACATGGCTACAGCATACTGCATATTATCAAAATAATAAAACAAGTTACAAATACTGAGATACACATACGCCGCGATAATGAGATTAATTTCCACATAATATACGTTGTACTAATTATAATACTAGTATTATATTTAATAAACAGTGCATAAAACTATATACAGACATTTCAGAGATAAAAAATATGAATTTCAGACTGTTATACTATCCATGAAATCAAATTCTGCTCAAAGTCGAAAATTATACATTAAATACAAACATAGTCAAACATTCATCGAAATGGTGGCTGCGTGTACTCCCCAGGTTTAGCGGAATTCACGAGTTCAAGAAAACCCAAAGTGACAAGCCAGAAAAAAAAATGATAATTCATGCGAGAAGACTCGACAATTAATTTTACAGCCGGTTAAGGATAAATAAAATATATTATTATTAATTATTGTTATATATATATATATAGTAACAACTCGATGATAATGGGCATCACCACAAATCACAACAATGGTTTGCGGCGACAAAAAATAACTAACTACCACACATCATAATAATATAGTCGTTGTGCTAATGAACCGTTTTTGGCCAAACCCGAATAACGACGGTGCTAACACCAAAAAAGGATTAAAGCCCCTCTCTTTATAGGCGAGCCAACACTCTCTCGTTCTCCCTCTCTCTCTTTCTCTCATACATTTTAGCTCCTCGTATTCTCTCGCCGACCATATGTTATAAACTTATAACTTATAATATATGCAAATGTCATATACACGATACACGACGGTTTCACACAAACGTATTTGTCACCATTCGGTTTTATTATTATTAATAAGAATGAACGGAGAATTGCTAAGAAACGGAAAAACGATTTTGGATAGAAAAAAAAATTAGAAACAACACTAAGGACACGAGGCAATGGCGGCAGCAGTAGAGACTGCGAGGGCGCCATTGCTTGTTGGCCATATTCAGCGTTGTCACGATCCTAAAAAAGAACCCGACCATATGGTCCTCTCATGTTTTCTCTGGCACGTTTATGATCTTTAACATTGCATATATATATACATACACATATATAAACATACAGAAATGTGTGTGTGTGTGTGTGTGTGTGTGTAGACGACGACGATTTAAAAGACGAAAATAATATATACACACGGTGGTAGTATATGGAAATTTAATAGCGTGGGATTACTTATTTTGGAAATGGCATTATTACGCCTGCGATATACACACATCGTTCATTGGGTTTTTAATAAAATTATAATAATGATGACGATGACGAGATGCAAATCGCACTTATATAGTATATATCTCCAACCCCGCATTGGTTATATCGATGTGAGTAATATTATGTTCCTTTTCTCCTGTCTCAATCTCACTCCTCTCCCTCACATTACTATTAGCTATAACGCCTAACTCGCGTAGGTCGCAATTGTAGAGTAGACAAAATAAAAATAATAAATAAAAATTAGAAAAATATATATACGCCACTGTCGTCCATTAATGGGCATCCACGACCGGACATGTCTTTCGGACCATCCCATTCAATCCGTTGAGAATTACAAATATTATACTATTATATACACATGTACCAAGGACATGCCAAACCCAGTCTACTAAGTACATAAAATTTAAACTCTGTTTTCCTCCCTGTCACTATAGAACATAATAAAAAAATATGATAAATTGATCAGCGTATAAACAGCCGTCGACGTCATTATTTTTTTCCCGGAGAAAAGGTATGAGAATATAAGAATCGGAATTACGTAAACTACACTTCTCCACCAGAAAGTGCTTACGAGTTACGACAGTTTATGGTTGATAAAAATAGTATACCTTCAATAGAATCCAAATACATTTTAATATAGAAGAAAAATTCCCTCACACACTTGAGTCTATTTACCAGTTTGAAAGATACTATACAATATACCTATAGTATAGGTCCTATACAGTATACATATAACTATAAACTATAGGTACATAGCAATTACAATCTACTTTTAGTAAAATATTTAAATATTACGAAAATGTTAACAGACAACATTATTAAATGTATCTGTATATTGATAGGTACCTACCTAAGTAATGACCAATGAGTAATAATTATACACTTTATAAATATAAAGATTAAAAATAAAACGCATACGACAATGTATTTATTTATTATTATCAAATATTAAAGTCACTTTTAAGAACAAACTAAATGAGTATTGGACAATCATTTTACCTTATTTTCTATCATTGCATCATAATATACAGGACACAAATACAAGTTGTGCATTATTCATACAAAACAATGTTGAAAGCTTGGTCACGGTTATAATAAAAATAATAAATTATTGTTTATTAACACTAGAAACAATTTATAGAAACTTTACAGAATTTAAATCAAACGTGTTCAAAATAATTGAATTTCTTGAAGAATGCAATAAAAGAAAACACATAGGTACCTAGAATGGCTAAACGGCTTGTAAAATTGTTTTTTGATTGATATACCTAACCTATTGCAAGATATTATGAATTGATCAGCAGGATCTATAAAAACATATGTGGACATGTGGTAATAATACATAAAACATATAATACCTAGTGTAATTGTACATAAATTAATAAATAAAAAAATGACACATCTTATAATAGTTTTAAAAGCAGCACATCGTAGTGTACACTAGTCAGTTTATATTTTAAGCTTAAAAACCATGATAAAAATGAATTTTAATTTCTTCCGATGGTTGTTGTTTTTCCCGAATTATTATTTTAAGGTGCTTTCAAAATAGATTCAAACGGGAAAAAATGGTCAACACCGGGGCCGGCACAAAGAGTGAGTGTTTCTCGTCGTAGGACGTTTTTTTTCTTTGCGAATCACCACTACAAACCTGTCACTACGAGCGGCCATCTTTGACTCACACTCAAAACAGCTTGTAATCAGTTTAATCATTATTTACGGCACTGGACAGATTGAATACGCACCTACAACTGCCTACACGATGAATATTGTTGTTATATTTAATAAATAATATTGCAAGAAAAACATTGTTTTCGAGATGACTAATCGAGATTCCACTAGTACGGGTAGTTTTAAGACTATCAATTCCGCGACATATCAATTTTTACATGTCGTCATACTGCAGGTTAGTGGATACTCCATAGCCGAAATTAATTAATTAAAAAAACAACTTACATTTGACTTAATGCAAATTATATACTTCAAAATGCATTATTACGATGACATGCGAGGACAAACTGGCACGCAGATAAATTTAGAACGCTATTAGTCAACTTATGCATCGTTCTTGACGTTGGACTATCCAAAAACATTAAAAGTCTTCGGTAACAATTCAATTTTATTTTAATCCAAATTTCAGATAAAACTGAATTATATACCTTTTTAAATAAAATACAACTGATAGTGTCCATGATAACTATTGATGAAATTACGATTTATAAATTTTGTTTGGAACGTTTATATTTTCCCCGTACATTCTTGGTTTAACTAGTTAAACGTTTTAGTATGTACTTAAACTCGAGTTACTAAAACTTAATATTTGGAATTGACAAAATTGTTAGGTTGTTTTAAAACTAACTGTACTGGTAGAATCGACCATTTTCTCTACCTAATAAAAAAGGTCATTCCGAATCACTGAAATCACGTTTTCAGCCTTGTTAGGTTTGATGCGATTTGGCGAATAGGTATAGTATTATTTCTTATGAATCTCATCGTTCTCGAAAGAGAAACACGCTTGGGTACAATGGTTCGAAATAATTCGTTTTTGAACAGGGTTGCCAGAGCAGCAGCATGAAGCAGCAGGACGTAAACGTCTGGTGTTCCGATCGTCACTAGGGTGGCGGCGGCGGTGGTGAGGGATGAGACTGGGCTGTAAATAACCACACATGTACACGAGACGACTTGACTCGTATTTATAGAAGTGGCTACTAAGGAAAGGGGACGTTTTGCATACAGACATCTGGTACAGATGTCGTATGTTGTTAAAAACAATCGCGAACTGGAAGGTAGAAGTGAAAGAGCGAAGTAAAAATATTTAAACGTGAATTATCACGTTCGAAAAAAGGCAAGACAGAATAGCGATGTAGGAAGCGGAGACCTTGAACAATGAATGAAATATACATAGCCACACACATTATTGGACGAAAATCGGACAAAAGATAAAATAATCTTTTAACTACTAACTCACATTTTTTTTTTAATATAATAAAAAACATTGAAATATATTAAATATGATAACACGGGGAAAACAGTATACCTGGTGATTTCATTATCCCATAGACGTTTGGTGGTCATCCTTCGGATTATCCACCCCCTCCCCCTACTCGCACAACGTGTTGTTTAATGTGAGGTAGTATAGTGTACGGAAAATCGTTGATTACGGATATAATAATAAATATTATTACATTCACCGTGACGAGAAAATGTTCAGCGGAAAGAGCGCAAGTTGAATGTTTTTTCCTCATTCTTGTTTTACGGTGAGATTTTCGAATTTATTTTTGTTGTAGTGGCCGTCGTTTGGGCATGTGCCCACCGACTGGTAGCGGGGGAGGACACACGATACGGGTCGGGATCTTGGCACTGCATGCGTACCGGTAAGATGGCGCAGCGTGGGCGGCGAAGGCGACACGGTATTTTCAACTATTTTTAGCAGCACTGAATCGGTTTAAAACACCATCGTCAACACCCGCGTCGTTTACTCCACCCCACACCACAGCCGCTGGAGCCGAACTTATACTAATATTTAACATTGTTTAATGCATAATAAGAATTCATGACGAGAAAATTACGTCCTTAGCTTAGAGTTGGGTTAATATCCGACAACGATATTACAGCCGCGTGAACAATATTCCATCTATACCCGAGTGACATTACGTCGCGCCCCCGGAAAACAGCAATAACAATAATAATACGTAATAACGATAATGAATCAAACGCCTCTCTATCTTACCTCCGGATGGTCCTTAACTGGCACGAACACTTTTTCGGTAATGGTGACGGGCGCGCCGTCTGGTTCCGGCAGCACCAACGGTTCCTTCTTCACGCCGTTCACTTCGAACAGGCTGGCCCGGACTTTGGTTATTTCTGTAAACAAAAATTGAATTCCACTGGTTAATAAGCTGCGGCAATATGAAAACGGAAATATTGTGTTTAATTTCAGGTGTATTTAAAATAAAATATACGGGGAAATGTTTCCTTTTACATAGTACCTATAATAATGGTATTAATGGTTTCGATATGATATTATATAAGTGCTTGTCATCGGTTATTTTCCAAATAATTTTCACATATTTATTTTACCGTAAATTTGTAGCTTGTAAAAAATATAATCGTTTTCGGCGTACAGCAAAAAAATATGTACGACAAACGACGACATCGGTTATTACTTATTTTGTAACAATTATAACACCAAAGCCTATTGCAGTATTGCATGTAGTGTATGACTCGGTAAAATAAAAAAAAATGTAATATAATCATGTTTTTTTCTTTCTATTTGCTGTTTGTACACACCTACGCAACCACGACAGTAATTTTAAACCCACCGTGTCCAATAAAAACCCGTCAAGACACCTGTTCACCATTGTCTTAACACAGTAGGGTTGTTCATCACAGGGTCGAGGGTTGACTTATCGTGCCAATAACAACAGCGAACAGTAATCAAATACAAAAATAAGGATCCCATAAAAAATTTACCAGGCCTTCAGAAAAAGAAGCAGACAAATAATCGCAGCCATATTGTTTTATAATGTTATGTGTACCGAGTAAAACTGTAAACTATACCTCTTTCCGTTGATGAAATATATGTATATTTGATATGTATATCGAGACACAGTTATTGTCAGAGTATATTCGGTGCGCCAAAATAAAACAATAGAGCCAATGCGAAAATATGCTTATTGAAGTAAAAATAAAAAACTTATGTCAACGAAGTGTAAAAAATATATAGTTTGAATTCGCTATCGACATAGAAATTGAAAAAAATTATTATGTGTATACTACAACTGTTGACATCACACCATTGCTTCGTTCAATCCGAATAACGCTAACGAGCGTGTTTCGTTCTCGTATACAAAACGAGGCATCAAAAACTAAGATAGTAGGATATTATAAACGTAATAACAACTAATAAATAATAATAACGCAAAGTAAAACGATAAGTTTCGGATTCGACGGTTTGGGTGGTGTCCCCTCGACAACCGGGTGCGCTGCAACAAATTTATGCGATTACTCAAACGTTTTGTTCTTTTCAATTCCGATCAATTAAAGACGGACACACCAGCGTCGTCAAAATAATAAGGAAAAAGCACACTCCAAAAGAGCCAGTCGGATCTCGCCAGATCGGTGGCGGTGGGCGGTCGGCGGCGTAGCGTATAATATACACACTGAAACAACATCATAGCCGGCCCGCTGACTATAGGCCGTGACGACGAGCGGGCGCGCGGAAATTATATAATAATATGATATTATCATGAATAAATCTATTCAAAGGTCGGGCTGGTTTCCTCCGATGACTCGGCGTGGAAGAATCGCGCGCACAGGCGTGTACAAATTGTTATTTTATTACCATTTAATATATTATTATGTTTTTAAGGTGTATATATGAGAAGGAGTAGGAAAACGTCCCACACGCCGGACACACAACTCTCTCGCACATACTCACACACGAACACACACACATATCAACACACCCACACGCTACCGGTGTCGACGACGACGACGAAATTATTGTAAATCGAAATAGACTGTTTTTTTCATTTTCTGCCATTTGACCATACAAATATATAATACGAGATACACCTCGCCGTCGCTGCTGTTCCACCACGTGAGCCGACGACCGTCTACGTACGTGGTAACTGTGTGGTACTGCTGTGTGTTTATCGAAACATCAGTTGTACGGCGGCCGAGAAACCGGCCCCGGGAGGAGATTCCGAACGTATTTATAATGCGAGTAATAAAAACCGGTTGCCTGAGCAGCACAACCAGGGGAAGGGAGACGCACGCATCAAGGTCTCGACAAACAGAACCCTTTATTTTTTTTCCAAATACGAATAACAATAATAAAATAATAAGTAGACGAACACCGTATTATCATTTTCTTACATATTGGGGATGGGGACTGGAAATCTGTGCTCGGTGTGCAGCACAGCCCCTATAAGAAATGTGAACTGAATGGCGTCGAAGAAGCCACGGCGGCTGCCGATCGTTTTCAAACGGAATATAATAATATAATATTATGGAAACCATAAACCTGCTGTTGCAGTACGCCAGTACCGCGGTCACCGCAGTTGCATGGTGCAACTAGTCGATCGAGAAACGGATTTAAAAACAAAACCGTACACAATTATATTATATATTGGTACCATCTGTTGTATGGTGGAACACTTTCAGCGTTTGAAGAGCAGACTTTCACAAAAAAAAATCATTTTGTCTGACGTTATACATATAGTAATAGAAGCTAATATATACGTTGTCTGTTGGTGCATGCGTTGCTCCACGTTGCTGATAATATATTGATGCAAAATGGATTATCAATTTAAGCTTTATTAAAGTTATATATGAACGTTATTATAAATACGAAAGCCATCGCGCTCTATACCAAAACATTGTTGAGTACGTCAGTGTGTAGAATTTGTAGGTACAATAATTATAACAAAAAGTTAAAATAGTAACAAAAAATAGATGCATAAGTCTAAAAATTGTACGCGACTCATTTAAAAACACGTTTGTTATGCATTTTATGTGACGTTCTGCTTTCTGCATTTAAAAATGTCATCTAAAACCAAAACGAGTGCCAAAAAAATACAGTTTGTGCGCGTTTGGTTCTCATTAAAAGATTATTTTAAGTGTTGTTAATACTATATCTTTAAGAGTTAATATTTTCATTCCCTCTAAATCATAGCGGTTCTAATATTGTAAATATTAAACTACTGTATATATAGCACACAGGATGCATCATCACGAGGAGATTTCCGTGCTTTGTCTTCCCGACGAAAACATGTGTGTGTAATGTTTAAGGCACGTTACCACGTATTCTCTATATGGTGGTTGAATCATTTATTATTGTTATTTATATATTACATTTCATACTACATACATACGTGTACATAATATAATACGAAACGAAAAAAAATGTACTGCATCGTCGCAGTTCAGTGGTTCTCAAAAGGGAGGAATCGTCGTGAAGGGTCAATGCCAAGTCGGGAAGACGGGAACGAATAACTTACAAGTATCGCAGTAAGTACACAAACGAACATATTATTATATATGTGTAGTGTGTACAGCTAATACCTACAAATCCCGTTGCCTATTTTGTAAAACCATTTCTCTAGTCAGTGGAGGGGATTGCGAGCGGGTAAAACAATACACAATTCCGCCGACTAAGAAGTCGACGAGTGTGACATGTTCATCTATATAAAATATCGTTTTCACATTGTTCTCCGTCGCGCGATGTGTCTCGAATTACCAATCTCATCGATGCCGCTGCCGCCGCCTTTCTTTCTTTCCGTCCGTCAAGGCTAAAACGCGCGCACATTACACGATGCATACATACAACATAAATACATACATACATACATACATACATACATACATACATACATACATACATACATACATACATACATACATACATACATACATATATAAATATGTACGCTGTTGTCGTAGTTTTTATTTATCAAATTGTTATTATATTGTCGTTAATAATAATAAAAAATACTAATGGACATTAATTATTTATGGTCGTACGGCCGTACGGGTATTTGCACATGGTGAAAAATTAAACAACCCCTATCATCGGGGTTGTATTAATAATAATGAATTTATTTAATAGTTTACTGCGTATGCGGGCGTTGACCAAAAAATTGTTATTTTCGTAACAGGGTACATTATTATTACGAGCGAGCGCGCGTGTGCTTCAGTGTTTTTTTCAACCTTCTATGCGTTGGTATACGCTGTAGTCCTTCGAAGGGGAGAAAACACACACGCAATGCAGACGCCAGGTCCAAGAATAGACGCGATGCACTTGGCATCTGCTGTGACGCCATTTTGACTTTTTCAACACACTCTTTATTTATAAACGGACGACGAATCCCCTCGGTACATAGTATTTTTTTTTAACGAAATATAAAACAAAACCGTTCTTTGAGAAACGACAATATTTATCGAGCATGAATCGCTCAGCGTACATAAGAAAAAGCCTTGAGGGATTTACCGCGATTTAACAAGACGGTGGGACGGCGACGGCGAAAGACTGAGCATAAAAAAATCAAAATAATCAACAAACATATGGTCTATTGGTGTTTCACTGCTACTGCTGTTGTTGCTTGGACGAATATTACAAATGGCGGAATACAATTATTTTTAAATTAAATAAACAATTGCTACGGCCGAGTTCAAATACAAAAACATATGTACAAATTGGTTTTAAACGACAATCAACATTACCCCCTCCCCCCAACCGCACCCAAGGCCACGAGTTACCAGAAATTGATTTCCCATCCGTACACGATGGAAATTCATCTGTTTATGCGCTACACGTGTGATGACTATTGACAAATCACAAGAAGCCTACTAACGGTTCTCTAGTCGTTAAAATGAACGACATAGATCTCGTGTTGTACTTATATTAGCCGTTTATACAATACGGGGCTGGGGTAAACGTTTGACACAGAAATGCTATTTTAATTTATAACAACGAAAATTGTTTGACATACAATAGATACGCGCGTGAAAATTGAACATAAATATATATTGTACATTTCTCGACTGTAATGAGTAACGACTTACGACTATGACATTTTAGTGTAAACGTGGGCGAAGAGAAACAATAAGTTTGGTACGCATACCATAGTTTATCATACATACATTTTGCACATTTATGTATAATAATAATAGTAATAATATATAGAGCGAATAAAGGTATACCATTTTTAAAAAATACATTGTTAATCACGTGGTTTTTTAACCGATTTGTAATGTGACGTCACATGTGCGCATAATAAACTTATAAACGAGCACAAATTAAAATAACATGAAAAAATAAAAATTAGTCACTAAATTTACTTTGACCTATTTATCGAAAACTGTGCTTATATGACCCGTTTAAAAAACTTCATGCAAAATTAATTGTGGCACACTATTATATACGTACATAGAAATCCGATTAAACAATTATTTAATTCGATAAAGCGAACATTATTATTTAGTCTCGGAGAAAAATAATTACAACTTTGAAGTTAATTTAATAGTGAGTACTCAAAACGTAGGTTTACAGCATACACAATAATGCATTGTATCTGTGGCTAAAATGTGGAATCATAGGATGTATAGCTTGATATATATATTATATTATGAAATTTAATTCCGTCGCGTAACACTAAGACTTTTACTCAGATGTCGAAAAGACTCCATTCTAGTCATCTGGCTGCGGCGGCGATGAGATTTGCTCGTAAACGTATATATACGTATACACGATGTACCTAATATAAATTCCGGTTTCTTGTGCGGTTTCCAATCGCGGACACTAGAAAATTACAGGCTCGGTGACCAGTCCCTTTTTTGGCATGTGGACCAGCCAAAACAAATTTTTCACTCGTTAAAATAATATATCAAAACGCTCCGGGCTATACGTGTACACCCACAGCGCACCTTGTATTACACTATAACCTCCTATATATCTATATTATATATATACACAATATATTGTTATTAAATATATGTACAGCGACTAGATAAACGACGACTAATAATTTGCTGGTGCATAATATTATAACATTTTTATCATTATCGGTCATTTTAGATTTACTTCGTCAGTGTAGCGTTTTTTGTGTCCCGTAAAAGATTATCGACCATCGCACTGTATACAAACGACGTAACACGACTGTGCACATAATATAACATATAAAAAGTCAGACTGGATACTGTTAAACCTAGCTTCACCTGATTCATGATGGTGTTTGCTGATGTAACACATTTGAAAACAATGATGGTACTTACACAATTGCATTCAAAAAACGTCTTTTAGAGGATTTTTGTTTAAACCACGGTTTCTACTGTTTGTTCAGTAATGCTGTCTACTTAACATAATGTTAAAAAATAACATGTTCACAATAAGGAAACCACTGCAGAAAAAATAAAATGCGACTTTATAAGTGTCAACTATAGACCCGTTACAGAGCTTTTAGAAGCCTCTCCTCTCCGAAAAAAAAGTATTCGAATGAAAACAAACGAATCACGTAATTCCTCTTTCTTGGACCCGATCTAAAATGAAATTGATAAACTAGTAATGTTAATAATGTTGTTTGAATTCCGAAATTCTAATGATATGGTGATGACTTCGCAGCATAAAGAAGGAAATGCGATCGTGTGAAAGCACCGCGGTGCCGTCGAGCGAAGCACATCTGGTTGTTATTATATGAGTGTATGGAAACTGGCGACTGGCGACGGCTGAGACGACGGAGGAGGACTAGAACTTTCAAACCACATCCATAGATAGTAATGCAGGTCAGTGGCACTTGGTTTGTTGAAAATTATATACACACATATGTGCACCGAGTACCGACCTATGGAGTTGTGACACATAGGTTCGCAATCTTCATAGACATATTTTTATGTTATTACCATTTATTACCGTTATATACTAACACTATACATATAGGACTTCGGAGATAATATTTTATGTGCTTCAGCATGCTCCAGGTAACAATAATAATAATCAACGAGAATTATAATGATAACGGTGATACATAATACACAGCAAAGGTGTAGTAGTGTTTTGTAGCACCAAGGGCGAATGCAATTTGCACGGGATTCGGGGAGCGGAAGTGGTTAAAAAACGGTGATTAAGGAGGGGTTTAACACTTGTAATGTAGGTCGGCCCTCAAAGGGTGTGCGCGTGCACACAACAACACCTGTAGCACCTCATACACGGGGGCGACTGCAAATCGAGGAACAATTCTCGAAGAGGGTCTCTAAAGGCGAAATATTGTGCAACGAGGTTTTGTTGAAACGAATGAATCACATGTACGGAGGGAGAATTTAAGAAACATTCGCTTTCTTTTCAAGTCATTCACGGACAACACATTTTGGCCGACCTCCGCCACGAACGCGTTTTATAACATTATCAAAATATATCCTCGACAGACATATTATAATATAACGACGTATAACGATAATAATAACATACGACCACTGGGTATTATCATTGAAAGGCGTATTATTCAAATCAGCGGGATGGCGAAAAACTGCAACGCCGCCGCCGAACAGAACAAAACACAAAACTCAACAGCCTTGGGTCAATTTTGCCCTAGCTGGAACGTTATAATGTTATTTCGGGTATTACCAGAATTTCCGGAAAATGTCAACTCCTATAATAATTAATCTCCTAATGATATAGTCCTAAGGCTTGGCCGACGGCTGCGACAAATGGCGCAGAAAATCTAACGGCGTCGTCTTTTTTTCGAGCGTTAAGAAAACTCAGATCAAAGACTAGCTGTGTACTTTCGCAATGCAGCGACATATGCGCGTCACGACACATTACACTCGCAGCACCGCCGTCGTCGTCAGTCGACGGGTATTGTGTAGGTATAGTTAGGTAGGTAGGTAGGTAGGTAGGTAGATACGCCGCACCGCAAAAACCATGTTCGCTATATATAAACATATAATTGCTGCGCACTAGATAATATTATCGTATTATAATATATTCCATACACAATCTTCTGCTTACGTATCTTACGATGAACACTGTACGTATTATACAGCCTCGGGCTGCGGCTTAACGAACCGCGTTGATCTCGCGGTCCCGTATAGCTTTGATCGACATTAATATCGTCATGCGGCGGTGGCGTCCCCGAGAACATAATATTATAATTTATAACATACAATATTAATATCATTGAGTCAACTGTGCGCAAATCGGATCGTTACTTTACATGTTATACATTGTACGCCGCCGAACGTCCACTATATAGTACATAATAATATATATATATACCTATGTAATACATATATTAACACAACTCGCCCACGAAACCGAAAACTAAGTATGTATCATGAGTTTATCATAAGATGCGATAGTTCATATTTTTTTGTAATGCACTCTATACGTCTGACGATTATCTTATAAAATACAACTAATAACGTACACGTCATGTTTCCCGTCGACGAAAACACGTAAAAAGCATTTGTCAAAAGTAGGTAGTACTAATAAAAATAAAGATACAAATTAGGCCCCCTTATTGTTTCACATCGAATTGGATTAGAAAGCTGGAATTCGATGCGGCTAGCCGTTATCTTATATACCTACAATATTCATCTCGAACTACATCAAAATTCCCCGGCGAACACAATACGCAGCACAAATTTTAATTATAACGATATATAATATAGTTATCTTCTAAAAACACTAAAAAATTATGATAATATTTATTCGTCGAGCATACTTTATTACTATTATACTTTCTCTGGACAATTGATTTTATGAAAAAGTTCTTTGCCATAAATTATGTAAATTGCAACATAATAAATTCAAATGGACACAGTACCTAATTTATATAAGAAAAAACCAACAAAAATTAAACCCAAATCATTGAAGGTCCAAAGTAAAAACCGAACAAAATTTAGTATTATCCACATTTTTTGTTGACAATTTGGAATTTCCAATCGTTATTAATTTATTTATCTACTCCACTCAAACATTGATAACATACACAAAACTGCAGTAGAATAAAACTAACAAGCACTCGAATGAATTTTGACGATAAAATTAAACCTATACAAAGTAAAATAAACTATTTCACTATATTATACATTTTAAAAATGTATTGAAATTTAAAATGAGTAAACTCACAAGACTACTAGTACAAAATATTATCATTGAATATTCAATATACAAGAATAATAAAAGAGATAAAGTACATGTTGTATTAGCCCACTTAATCGATTTTTATAATACATATCACTGAACTTATATCATATTTAGAACGTAAGTAACTATTGATATGTTAAATTTTGATATTTATTATTGATACAATGCAAATTTGAACTTATTTAATCCCTAAAAAGGTAAGGTAACTATATTTTATTACATTATATTATATCTTTAAGATAAAATAAAAGTTAAACACAAAATATAAATATAATATATGAAAAATGGTACCTAATGAAAATACATTTAAAACAAGAAATAAGTCAATGAAAGACAATAAAAGACAAGAGTAACTTAGGTCAGGTTGATATTGTTGTAACTTATTCTATCTATGTGTAATAGTTTTTTTTAGATTTGTGGATACATTTTTAAAAGAAGCATACTAGTAGGTATATTATGCGTACTTTTAAATGAATGATGCTAAACTAATTAATAAACATGACGCAATTTTGAAGTTTTTCAACACATTCTTTATTCATATGTAGTAAACGAATCCCCTTGAAACGTGTATGATTATTTTTTCTGACAAAATAAAAATCGTTCTTTGAGAAACGACGATAATATTATCGAGATTTACATACACATTTAATAGGAAGCCTTGAGGGATTTATCGCCATTTAACAAGATGGGACGACAATCTAAGTCTGTGCATTAAAATATAATAAACTATGGTAATAATGAATATAAAATACAATACATAATTAAATACGCAGATCGATTATTTTAATTCATTTAAACTTACGATATCTAATTGAGTGTTTTTAAACGAAGATATTTAAGATGAAAATACAAAATTAACCAATCTAATATTCTAAATTAAAATTAAATAGCATTTCATTTATGTTAGTGATAAGACTTAATCACGCATTTTTCGCATATCGCAATTCGCCAGTGAGTGTACTAAACAGTACTCTGACTGCTCGCGCTGTCGACTGTTTTGAGTCATGCGTCGGTCATAATACGAATACATGCGTTGTACTCTTTTGGAAGTTCGAACACGCGAAATCGTTTTTTCGATAGTGGGCAAACGCTATATTTAAATATATCATTTTCACCCCGAGTAAAAGAACACATTTCAATACCGTGGTCGTTCGTAAAACACATTTACGATATATTTTGGAAAAATCTATACAATTCGGTATCCAGGACATCCTTGTAAAACTAAGAGGACCTGAGGTGTGGTCAATCACGGTAATCAATTTTTTTCTTCTAGTTTATGATTTTAAAATATTTGTTGGGACACATATTATTTTTTTGACATTTCTCAATCGCAATGGCACTGGAAGTAGTTTATAAAGAAGAGGTCAAATGACATAATAATTTCTAACCAATGTCCACAGTATTTGGTTTGAAAAAATTACACAAAAAAGCGCACCACCCATAATAGTATGCCATTAATAGATAATTTAATATTGAAATACCACTACTCCGTCGCTGCATTTGAGACCTACACACGACAGCAGCATTTCCAAATTTTATCACTCCAGTTCTATTTTTCCCACGGCTGCCACCGATCTTATCAAACAAGTGACAAAAGAATACCACACCTCCAGCTGCTTCGGGATAAGACCACAATAATGACGAACAGAGAAAATAATAATAATAATTACAATAATAATTAATAATAACGATGCGAATATTAATTTTATAACGTAGTATATTATAATTTATGGTATTGCCGCCGCCTCGTAATTGTGTTGACTATGTTCTTTTACACTCGAGGCAAGGCGGAAAACAATAATAATAATAATAACAATAATAATAATATGTAAAACAACGTTATGCGGTTTTATTGTACGAACGAGCGCGTTCCCATTTTAAGGCGACAGTCGGGGCGTTCGCGGTGGAGCGGGGTGCGGCTTTGATGCCCACTTGTTGCGCAACGCAAGCTCCCATGTGTGTGGAAAACCCTTTAGGAGACGGCCCGGGAAGGACGGCAGAGATTCACGAGTTACGGGCCGGCATCTACCGCGGGCAACTGTACGGTGGAGCCGATCCGGGGCAAGGCCCTGTCGCCGTTCCAGCCATCGTTACGATCCCTGCGCACAGGTGCACAGATCGCGCAGCGATCGGCGGCGGCGGCACCTGTAGAGCACGTGGGCCAGCGGTGTGGTACCACCACCACCGCCAGCCGACGCCGCCGCCGCCGCATTCCGGTCGTGAAACCGAATCCGTGCGCGCACATAGAAACACACACACACGCACACGAAACGGCGGCGGCGGCACGTAAATGGCAACGTCTTTGAGCGCGCGTGCGGCCTTCACTTGAGCTAGCTCGTAAACACACACACACACATACGCACGCGCACGCATAAAATTACTCAACACACGAGACCGAACCTTTTTTTCTATCGTAATATTAGCCATTACATGATCGTGAAAAGGCTTAAGGTGCTTAGTCCAGGGTAGCGAGTGATCCCCCGGACGCAGTGTTTTACGATTATATGTTTTATTCACTGGTCGTCGTGGACAAGATGGATGGCCGGGGCACAGGGAACGAACGTGGACGACGAAAATAGACTCGGGTGGGTGTGTGTGCGTGTGTGTGTGTGGAGTAGGCTTGCGCGGAGGGCAAAACGGGAAAAACGAGATGCACGCCGCTATCCCCGCCGGCCAGCGAGCTCGCGCCGACACGACGTGTTTATCGGGCGGCGGCGGTAGCGACGAAAAACGCGCGACCTACAAAAATGAGAACTAAAAACGCGCGCTGGCCGCCGCTGACACTAAAAATCAGCTGAGATCACCTCTTATCACGAGGCGGCGACGAGCACGGATGACGGCGATGTTGATGATAAATAATATGTTGATGATGATAATAATAACACAAAGTTATTAATAATTAATCGAGCGGCGCCAAATGCAAATGGGCGGACTACGAAGTCACAACTATTTGTTTTAAAGGCGAATTCAGTCGATTAGGAAACGCTTTTATAGTCACTAGGTACCGAATGACCAACTAATCAACGATCGGTTGTGGCGTAAGAGTAACGTGATAAAAAAAGCTAAAAAATCATAGTGATATTAGTAATTACCTTCGTCGATAAGCCGTTCGACGTGCATGAACATGTTTGGAAACGCGGTGATTTGTTTGCGGTCTTTGAGCAATTGCGCCAAATAGTCGGCGATGCTCTGGGTGTTGACCGCGTTCATTTCCGTCATTTTCATGGAAACTTTGTCGTTTGACGACGACGTGTGGAGGACACCGGCTGTGGTGGTCGGTGGGCAGGTTACGGATTCTCTCCGGACGATTAGATCGGCGACGGAAGAGTGGCTAGGTCCCTTCGTGTAGATATCAAACGAGACTTGTTAACATTTTTCGCGTTTTACTTGAACGGTGACGACGACGTTAGCGACGACAAATGATACTACACCGCAATGCGTTATTGTCACGATGATTTATGTTACGTGTGTGTGTGTGAGTGTGTGTGGAGTTCTGTGTTTTTATACGGACTAGAGAGACGGACTAACCGTGTTATCTGTAAACGCGCGTCGCACTCGTCGGTTTTATGTTATTTTATTACTAGACGATTTCTATTATTATGCACATGCGTGTTAAAAATATGTGAACAATAAATTAAATTGACGGTGCTGATCGGTCGGCGTTTGAATTCTGTACCTACAGGTGTACGGCGAGAGGGGAAAAAATAGAGAAAAACGGAATACGACCGCTGGATGTACTTTTTTCTCTCGGACTGCGGACACGTATTGGACTGCGCACACGATGACGAGTGCTCTTTTAAACTAACCTCGGCCGAGGCCCGTAGGTCGGCCGACGACGTTGCGGCGATGGCGCATGCGCGACGCGACGGAAAGAGAAACAGTAAAAACAAAACGAGACGAGAATACCGTCGCCACCGCTACGCGCGCCTGTCCTCCCGTCCGTCCGTTCTGTTTGTGTATTATTATTTCGCGGGGCAATACAAACGCCATATTTGGACTTTGCGCGACGCGACCGACCGCCCGACCCTCACTTTGAGCAGCACGACTTACCGCTGTGGGATTCAGGAATTTAGGATTTCTTCTGTCGGTCGGCTTCTCCAGCCACCAGGGTGGGCGATGAACAGTCGCAACTCCGGCGAGGGAGCGACGAGGGGGGCCACGACCAATTCTATCAAATTCAATAGGAATGACTATGTATTGACAACTTTACTAGTAAGCACCGCTTCACAGAGAGAGGTTTTTCAACTCTAAGGAAAGTAAAAACATATCTTCATAATGCATTCAAGAATGACTGCGATGCGATAGGCTGTGCAATTCATGTTTAATAAATGCACGTAGAGAAATTGATATTTATGGTCACAAATCACAATATATTATATTATATGATGTTTTAGATATTTTTTCTATTGACACGGGTTACGGGTATGTACCGGGCTGCATAAAAAATTGGTTTGTTTAATCGTCGGGTTTAATCATATGTGGCTAAATCATATTTAAGAGACCATTAGCTCACTATCGACTCGTTATAATATGTTAATAATAATTATTTTTTGGCTTGGTGAGTCGCAGTTGTACGCTCAATATGTGGAAACGCTATGAGTGTACCTACCGGCCGGCGTTACTAGCTCCCAGATGGGTGACCCCCCAGGATTTTTAGCAACAAAAGCCTTGCCACACATGCAATACGTGTTCTAAAACCAACCGTCCCCCCTCCCTACAAACAGCTAATGGCCATAGTTGCCGGACTTAAGTTCAATGAAAAAAAAATAATGATAATAAGATTGTTTGTGCAACCAGGAATTAGAGGTTGAAATTACAAATCGTAATGTTGTGTTTTTTTGGAAGTTGTTGAGGAGCCTGCCTCTCCCTTGCCCCTCAAAAAAAAAACAAATTCTCCCCACCAGAGTCACTTAGGTGTCTTGTAGTGGGTTCTCCAGTCATCATAGTCCTTTTACCAAATTCCAGCCGCTTTCCCCCTAAAAATCATGCCAACACAATATTGAAAATATGAATTTTTAATTTTAACATGATGAGAAATAAAAAAAAGCTAAAGGAGGATATGACACCTTTATCATTTACCGCCCTCCGTGAGCACACCCTTGTAAATTGACATGTGCCACACGACGACGCTAACACGCAAATCCGCAGATAACAAATAACAAATAATAAATAACAATAACACACGCGCCTGTAGTTCTTTATGACTCGGCCGAATACAAGATCGGGTATACCTATATTTTAATTTTTATATCGCTCGCACGCACATGACGATAAAATCACAAAGACAAAGACCGTCGAGGCCCGTCCTGTCACCGCGTAATGATTATGCCACATTATTATAATATTTTACTCCGTGCAATCGTTCTGACCGGTATAGGTGCCTACGTGAAACGTATTGGTAGTTGGTACGTCTTATACTGTATACGCTGCTACGTTCCAAATCCATTCCGATTACAAAAATAATAATAAAAAAACTATAAACTTACACTTATTACGACTTCATTGTTTGAACTGCAAGCGCTCACTGTATAAACCTATTGTGATTTGTGGTGCGCCGTGGGTACAGTGTAAAGACCTAAAATTAAATATTAATTAAAAACTCATTCAAATACAACAATGTGTTATAGTGTTATACTATATAGGTACCTAAAAGTAAAAATGTATATTGCGACCTACTACATTTCAAATTATTGTGTACCTTTGTGAAGGTCTATATTAAGAACTGTAAGCAATTAAGTATTAAGTCCCCAAAGTCATCTCGACCCTCGAGACTGTTGGTATTATGATATGAATGAAATGTTGTTTGCCTTTCAGGGAATTATGGGATGTCTATAATATTTTACAAATATTACTTTTTTAATACCGGAGTCCGGAGAATCAAGTTGTAAGAAGGGGATGGGGTCTAGACTGATTCACTTGGAATCTTCAATAACATTTAAAATAATAGTATCAATTTTATAAGTAAAGTAGTAACATAAAAGTGCACCTATGTTATAATTTACTAATAATATATTTTTTTTTTAGGTATACAGTTAAAATGATTTATATGCCACATTTAAAAATGAACTCTAAAAAGTCGTATTATAGTATTTAGTTTAAAAATTGTCAACGTTTTATATACCTAACTTATTGGTATTTGGTACGATGACATACACGTCACATGCCGATTTAAAATAATAAATTAAAGCTACCAAGTGGATTCTGTATGTAAAAAAGTACCATTCGAATATACCATATACCTATAAGTATAAATCTGACTTTTTTTCCAACTCAAAATTGAAATAATATACTCAGTGAGTATAGTGAAAGGGGCCGACCATGAAAATAAGTAATGTATATGCCACCAGCAAAGTGCCAAAATGAGGTAGGTACTATAACTTTTAAGTACACGCCTTCAATGTTACCTCTCGCTTTATTTTATTATTTGTATTATATGTGGAATATATATATACTGTTGACATGTGTCTAAATAGTAAAAGTTGAATGTTTTGTAGGTTCTACATAAAAATAGAGTTATAATAGTAAGTAATAATATACTAAAAAAATATAATGAAAGGAAGGATTTCAATTGACTGATATTTTATCAATATCATTATTGCTATACATCTTTGATTGTAAGTGATCAATGAATTAGTGTAGGCGAATGTAAAGCGATGAGTGATTGAGTTAACCGATCAAAATTATTATAGGCAAAGTGTTTTTACACTACAGGAGGTCTTTAAAATAAAGAGAATGCAAACTATTAATCAAGTACTTTATGTTGTATGGTTTAGTAAATCATATTTAAAACAACAAAAACCAATAATCTCTCATGAGATTAAAAAAAAATCAATATATCATTCTTATTTAGTAATTTAATTTTTATAATTAGGTACCTAATGTATGTTTAATACAATCTACCTATACTTTAGACTTTAAATTATGTACATAAATATATAAGTATAACATTACTAGTATAAAGTAATACATTTATTAGGTAGGTATGTAAAACTAAATCATTATAACAAAGTATTAATATATTATAATTTATAGGTATTCATATTTGTAAATTATAATAACTGACAAATCATTTTTCTTAAAAAAAAAACAGTAAATAGAAATAAATAAGTACCTAATAACTAGGCGTGAATCCAGGAGGGCTAAGGAGGGTTTAAGTCTCCTCCCTTGTAAATGTTGCATATTTGTATTTATTTATCTATTTATGTATTTGATGTCTATAATTTTAAAATAGAAATACATTTTTTATTATTGTTATCATATTGCATCCATAATGTTATCTATATATAGTCTATTATGTATTGAAATTATAATTATATTTTTTGTGGAAAAAGGGTGCGGATATTTCAGATTTTTAGATCTACGGACTGGCAATACGAGGGATTGGGGCACTTGTCCTACAATTTCACGGAGGAAAAAAATACGAACATACATCTTCCAAATGATTGATTCCTTTGTTCTAATACAAAATTATTAGTGGATGTTATGTTTAAATAATGAAGAATCAAATTAATTTATTCACTCACAAAGTCACAAAGCCCACCATACTTTGTGTAGTGTGTATCTACCACTTTATGTATGATGTATATATTATATAATATAATGAGTACTTTAAGAATTAATTGTACGATTTGTACGTAAAACGCTAAACAAGTAATAGGTTAATTTGTATACTAATTAGTACTTAGTAGATAATCTAATAACAATAATTTTATACACGATATAATATATATAGGTAGGTACTACGTTGATATCTACTGTGTACCTAAATTATTTATAGGACAAAAATATGTTGTATTTTTGTGTAGTAAGTTGAACCGTAATAATGCAAATATTATAGGTAGCCACAATAATCTATGTATTTTTCATAATATATACCTACAAATATTCTTTGAAAATCCTAAAACTTATAAAATAGACAAATCAAAAGCAACTATTACATTTTGAGTACAAAACAAAAAATAAATTATCTATAATTTATATGCATATATATTATACGTATCATTTATATTATTAATTAACAATATAGTGAATGTAGTCGATAGTCAGTAACAAATTTAAGTCTTGACGTGGGTACTTATTATAATTATTTATAATAGTCAAATTTAACTATACTTATAAAATATATAGTTATATATTATTTAGGGATTGCTTAACCAACAAACATCAAAATGTAGTTGTACGTATTAATTATTATAGTATGTAGGTACTAAATACTAATAGTGATTTGATGACAATTTAATATTAAGTCATAAATTCGGAATAATATGTATTTGAGATTTTAGTATAGATAATTGAGTATTATTATAACATCTCTTTAATAGAGTACCTATATTCTCATTATTAATTAAAATGAAAAACCAACCTAACTCTACTAAATTCTACTTATCAGTTATACAAAATACTATTCACTCTTCAGTCTTTCCTTTTTTAATACTTGATAAACCCCTATACTAATTACTAATATGATATTTAAAATGTACTTCATACAATATGTTTAACAATAACGTATTTATTTTTAGAATAAATAAATACAATTCGGTAACAATACAACTTATTGCTTATCTATAACAAATAACAGTTACATATGTATAACTATTGTCTATTGTTCACTTTTAATTTGAAAATCAAGACAAGTTGTCAAATGTATCAACGTTTTTTTAATAGTTTTATATTCTGAATATTGGTTTTTTTTTGTCTCAAATCACCGCCTTTTGAGACAGTAAATATAGATTTCTATTAGCAAATTTAATCTATTTTATACTATATAAACACTAAAAAATTCCTACACAAATAAATCGGAAAAATAAATCAATAACGTTGAAAAAATTGGGTTATTTATGCAATACAATTTTTTTGACCAAATTTCTTTGTTGTAATTCAAAAATTAATAATTATGAACTTGAATTCTTTACCAAATATTTGTATTAAAATTGTCTAGACATGTTTCTGCTCTTTTTGTGCTATTCATAGGTTAGGTTAGGTTAGGTTAGGTTAGGTTAGGTTAGGTTAGGTTATAGACATTTGAAATGTTTCTTCTTTTTTAGTTTTTTGCTCAATTTATGTGTGATAAAATTCATATCAAAAAAGATTGAATAAGGTAAACTATTTATAATAGAAAATAAATTATTAATAACAATATAATTAATATAGATATAATAAAATATCCTTAGAAATTAGACTGACGACCTAGCAAAATCGTTTTTTATAAGCAATCTACGAATTTAAATTTAACACACCCAATAATGTATTATTAATGTGACCTAGTCGATAACAAGGTACATCAGATATTAGTATACTACTAGTATACAATGTACATTATGTATAACCTACTATACAGCAGAGCAACTTCTCGGTTTTTTTTTCATTAATCATTTAATAGCGTAGTGTCATTTATCGTTTTTGGTAAACGTCAAGATAATTGAACAGTCATGAAAAAGCTGTTCGTTAGTTTTCCAGTTTTTTGTTCGTCAGGCCATTTTAACTTGTCATGTTTATATTTTAATTATGATAAAATAGCAAAATAATTTGGTCACACATACATTAATAACACAAAAAATAATTTTAAAGAAAAGTTAAATAAACAAATTTAGACCTATGCTTTTTAGCTTTTAGTGATTCATGAATTACTTACAATTTAACCCATAATAATAATGTACTCTAAATATTAAAAAGAAATAACTATACTAACCAACAATATGAAAGTAAAATAAAATAAATTAAAGTTGTATTTATTAATGGTTTTGACGTACATATATTTTTTAAATGCTATAATATATCAGCGTTTTACCTACCAATTTAAAAATATATAAATAATTAATATTTAGGTAGGTATAATATTGTATAATAATAAAAATCTTCAATTAAAATAACTGCGTTTCAAAACAATAGAAAATTGTGTACTATAAAACTGCTTTACACAGCCTACACACAGCCTATATTATGCTGTATGAATATAAGATTAACATATTTTTTAAATATTTCGCGGACTACATGACTTTAAACCATATAATATTATATAAGGTGATGTAAAAAGTTATTAACATTATTCATAAGATTTTTCAATATTCATTATTTATTAAAAATACAAAATGTTTGTACTTGAAAAAAAGTTAGTTAAGTTCTGATTAAGTATTGAAAAAATGTATAGTAAAATTAATATTTTTATCTATAAAGTAACTCATAAAAATATTTCTACTAACTAATTTCTTTAAATAAATGACTTGTTTATTTTAAAAATACAAGACATAGTGAAAAACCAAAGTTTTTTTTTCAAATACGTAAGTGTATTTTAAAGAGCATCATTTAATAATATATATAACATATGTATGACATACATTGTAAGCATCATATATTATTTATTTTGTTAATTTGTTTTCACCTACATGATACATTTAATATACTCTAAAGCTTAAAGGTTATCTCTGATTTCGGGTATATGATCAATTTCAAACTGCAATTTCATACATTGCCCACAAAAAACAAAATGGCTAAAATCACTTACCAATCCAACTCCGATGAGATTTCATGCCTTCATGGATATAGAAACTAAAATTAAAAATACTCAAAGCGATAAAAAAAACAACATTTAAGATAAAGACTGACGACAGATGGTGATTATCAAATTTGGATTGCATACCTATGCCCGAATAGGTTCAAAAAGAGGTTGGTATATTATGAGTGAAGATTAAGAGCTTTGATTTAAAAATTTGCCAAAATAAATGTGGTTGGCTGTTGAGAATTGTCCATTTGAATTTAAACCGAACGCGAAAGTCTGAATTCAGATTTTTGTTAAACGTATGTCCGAAGTACTTAACTTCTAATTCTGTAGATATTGAGCTGGGTTTCTTCGAAAATTAATAAATTAATATATAGACAGTCTGACAGTGGATTTATAGAAAATGAATACCTGTAAACTGTATAATATATCTCTACTGCTGGTTACGTAGTGTCCATACATAGTAACAATATAAGGTATATAAATATAATATTATTCAATATTGGATATTATTATAGTTAACTTTTTGATGTATACTGTATACTCATTATGAAATAACTAAGGTATACAGTATTACCCCCAAAATGTTTAATTTATATTATAATATTGATGTACCTATATGTAAAGACGTTTATAATTCATTTTAGTACACAACTTAGAGGGGTATAATATATGATATATACCTAGTTATTATACAACTACTTATTTTTGAAAATCATTATGCTGCAACAATCTTGTGAAAATATTGTATATTATATATATTTATTTGATATTCTAAAATATAATGTAGAAACACAATGCAGCAATCTTGCTTAAATTTCATTTTATTTGTGGGCATAAACGATTTAGGCGTGCCCGCGCCATATCGGCGGTGGCGGCCGGATGGAACACTAATAACTTACCGAACGGCGAACTCAAGCATTAAAAATAAATATAATCGTATAACCGTATAGGTATATAATATAGTATTATGGTAGGGCACATGGAACGTATATTATATTGTGAAGATATCTGTTTGAATTTTTACGTTCAAGTTTAAATTATTGAGATTAGTTTTCATTTCCGTTGTTTTTAATACGTTTACTGTATCTAAATATATGTACACAAGTACACATAATATACGATAGGTAATATATTGCACCTTCTGTGTGTGCGTGCGTGTGTGTGTGTGTGTGTGTGTGTGTGTGTGTGTATATATTGTTAAAACTATAATAATATATACTAAAGTAATTCAATTATTATGCTCCAAATAATATTAAAAATGAATAGAGCATACAAACAATTTGGAAACAATTCAAAAGGAACACTGAAGTTAGGCAAATTAAGTTAAATAATAGATTTGTTTAGGAATAATATTTTAATAAATGTATGGCTGAAGGTTAAAAAATATATATAATACTTTCTACATCGTATGCACACTTCACCTTATGGCTTATTAGTTATTATATTATATTATACTATACATACATTAAAGT